ATCTAATTTATATAAAACAGATTGATCGAACCGTAAATCGAACAGACTTATTAAATTAGAAAAGTATGATTTACTGATTTATGGTATAATTAAAAAAAGGCCAAGTTATTATGTTTCACTATCATTTAAATATTTAGTGAAAAATTTACCGAAATGTTTATCATAATCCACAGCTTTGAAAGTGTAATAACCAAATAAGGTTCTGTCAAATAACTTGATGTATTGTCTCAGTATAATTCTAGCAATATAATCAATTTTTATGATATCAGAGCATATTAATATAATAAATAAGAAAGGTTAATCTGAAAAATAATCAACTTACTACAATACTTTCTTCATTTACTTTTCATTGCATGTATAAATTAAAGTGTAATTTCCTCTCATCTCACTAAAGGATATAAAAGGTGGAGGGTATATCAATAAATGTTGCGTTTCTGTCGAAGTATTCTCGTATTTATTACGGTGTTAGTTTGTAATATTTTTAGGGTCCCTTAGTAAATCTAGTTAGCATTCAATGTTATTCAGTTAAGACAAATATGAAACTGGACGGTTTATTGTAATATTTGTCAAAGTTGGAAAATAGATGACCCAAGCACTTGCTAAAGGGCTAACAGCATGGGTTGTCACAAACAAGGATTGTATATTTGTCACATACTAATTAACTATCGGCTTTTACGATAAATGTCAATTTGTTAATAAAAGAAATAAAGTCTTCACAAATCACAGTGGATAAAAGAGGATATTGTGTAATGATGATTCTTTTTCCCGACCGTACCTGCCACCTTGACGTATTGGTCGGGTTTGCCTGTTATGATGACCAAACCGATCTTCATTGGCTGGATGTATAGACCAGATATTCACATTTCTTCTCCAGCTCAGACACACATTCAGATGTTATATTCCTTGACCTTAAGGAGGCATTTGGCTGTGTTGATCATGAGGTTCTGTGACAGTCTCTGTCATTGAAAAGAGTATCAGAGAAGTACATTAACGTTAAAAAGTCTTACTACTCGAACATTCATGGTTGAGAGGGAGATATGCGTCTGGTAACCAAAGGACGAGTCTACTGCGCATCATTTCGCTCCATCCTACTATACAGGTGTGAACATGGCCAGTATGAGTAGGGGATATCCGTAGGTTACTAGTTTCCGATCATAGATGACTTCGAAGCATTGCTCGTATATCCTGGAACAACCGAGTAAGCAATGCTGTTGTTAAGGAACGGGTAGTAGGTAAGGATGGTAAATAAATAGACGAAGTAGTAGAATTTCATCAAATGAGGTTGTTGGGACATGTGTTAAGAATGCGCGACCATCGACTGCCTTGGCGAGCTATGTTTTGTGGTATAGGAGTAGGTTGGAAGATATCTAGGGGCAACCAAACCAAAACATGAAGTAAATCCATGAACCAAGTGATGTTGGTAGGTGTCGACTACCTGGTTGGAGTCGATGGTTAGACACCCTGAATGACATGTCTCAAAACCATTTGCAATGGCGCAGATTCATCTACTATTTGTCTTCTCTCAAATTCTAATCTGAATTCCTCATTACCTTTATCTTTCTGTTTTTAAGTTCATTTCACTGGATTATGCTTCATGAATAATATCTTCGGACTTTGATCTTCCCTAATACTGCTAATACTTCTACTACATCTACTACTATGCAGTTTGAATTGACAGTTCGATCTCTGTGCTAATAGGGTATGGGAACCTAAACTAATGTACGTAAGTACCAAGTTCTATGCTGCAGCAGTTTGACTGGCTACTGAACTTTGTGCAGCTTTAATATCTGAAGTTTTCACCAAACATGTGTCATAAATGCTAACGAAATACAATGTTTGCTGAATTTGCAGTCTCGACCAATTCATTTTTGTTTAGTTGTGGAACTTAAGTTGTCAGCATATTATAAGGTTTACAGTCATCTTTTCCCATTTTTCTGTCTATCTAGCAATCTGTTGGTTTAGTATATAGTCTAGCAGTTACAATACTTTATGAATTCGGAATGATTATTTACTTAACTGTGCATGTTAACTGTTTTAAAGCTTAAAAAACTGACGAATTCCCCTTGTTTCGGCGTTGGCTCTCTGGTCAACAAATTGGAGCTACTAATTATTGTAGCCATCAAAAGCATTCTAGTTCCTGGATCATAGGCCGTGCAACCCAATTTTCAGAGATAGTGAAGTATGCTGGACTGATGTGTGTACTTAACAAGTTCTACGTTATTGTCGATTGACTGACTAATTCTTAGGGTAAAAGTAACCCATTACTTGATACATAATATAATTTAGAAAACAGACAATCGGTAGCAATCAATTCTGTTATGCATAACGCTTTGTGCGAATTAAATTCTTTTGGTTACCTTTGTAATTTGATTCTTGAGAAAAGATAATTGACATCAAAGTGAACTTTGTTTTGGTTTTAGGTGGTCAAATGTATTTAGAAAGAAAATACTCTTGAGACTCCGTAAAGGTCAATAAAAATTCGTTGGTCCATTTACAAATAAATTTATTGCTTACAATGATGACATTAAATGCATATGATGTTAGTCCTATAACTAATTATATTTGTTAAGATTGACTACTGTTTTCCAGTGTAATGGTTTAATGATCCATGAGTATGCTATGTTAACAAGCCGCAAATTAGACGCAAGTGACTAATCGATACATATTCGTTTTCAGTAATTCTTTAACTGACACTAATAGTTAGTGAAAATTACATTTCAATAAAACTGCTACTAATAAATGTATCATAAATTTTAAGAAACTGTAATACTGAATGGTTCAGTCAGATCTTTTAGAAATAGAATCCGAGTAACAGACTTTGTGATTATTGATAAACTTTCATTTTAAGAAAACTTTTTCTCGGATCTTTTTAACAGTTCCAGCCAGCGGGATGTAAAACAGATGACTAATTCTGTAACTGCGGGATGGAGTGTTATTTATTGTAAAAATATTTCTAAAAAATGTTCAAGTAATGCTTTAAAAAAGACAACTATTTTTATAAATACAAGTATCAGAATATTTCATTATATAGGAAAAGTAGGGTGTTTTACATGTCTGTACATGGTCAGATAACTTATATTCACGCAACCCCATAATAAATTTACATAATTTTCTTTTCTATATATAACAGTGTATTGATTCACAATTAGGGGATAAACAATAATTTCTAATGTTGATATTTTGGAAATCAATATAGCAATATATCATTTGTAGACTTTGGTCATTATTTCGAATAGTACATAAATAAAGTTGTGATATTTACATTCATGAAATTTCTTGACAATGTTACATTTCTTGAGGTGTAGAAACTTTGGATTGTCGCAACGCATACTAAGTTTGCAGTAGTATCCACGAACCATTGCAAAGGTGTTTTAAAGGTTGAATAAGCGATGAATTATTTGATTGATAAAGGTGATATTTCAGTTGATATTGTTATGGTGACCATATACCGTGGTTAACCCCAAAATCAACAGATCATATTATTAGAGATATATGTTGACAGTCACAGAATGATAAAAAAGAGGGAGCTTAGTATTATTAAACTTTATTAGTGTAATTTGTAGAATCCTACTTTGTAATTCAAAATCAGTGACAACTTTAGTCGCTACGTTGAACCACCAATTTAGTGGTTCGCGATCTGACTCCTATATTTATGAACAATTAGAAATGCTATGCAACAAATCTCCCCTTGAGTTTCCATATATCATACGTAAGCGGAGCCCGTTTGTGCGACGGAGGTTAAATGAAGTCAACTATGGATTCGGTTGGATGAATTCATTCTGGACAATCGTTCGTGCAGATAGACCTGAGAACAAAAAGCTGACAAGCAAAGTAAAGTGAAGTGGAGAAGGTGAGCGAACCTACTCAATGCGATGAAGCATGATTAAGTATCAACATACAGACAAACATGTAATGAGAGAAGTAAGTGTGCACACACACATTCGAATAAAAACAACCACAATATGGGCTAATGATTGACAAGGTCAAAAGACGAGTGAGTAATAATTCGGGAAGAATGGATTGATTAAATTTCCCAAAGGTCGAGACAAGCTCTATGGACTCGACATAAAAGTACACACACTACACAACTTCAGTACAGTTTCTCATTGTGGTTGTTCACTGATCTTATTGAAGTGTACACTACTAGGTCAAATCTATTTGGGTCATTTTTGCTTTGGGAAAAAACAATGGGCTTATTCCTGTGTAGTCATTATCCAGACATATTTTGATTTTGTCAATTATTCACATATAACCTTGACTTTTCTATTTGAATGTGTATTGATCGCTCGCTTATAACATGCCTTTTGCTTATTTTTGTTTGGCTTTATCAAATGGAGTCGGCATGTTTGCCTGCCTCACATCACTTTCCGGTTTCTCATCTTGATATCTCTCTGAGTAAACAGATAAATGAACCTTAGTTCGTAAAATCACCACCATAGGGTTAATTGAATGAAATTCATTTGAGTTTATTTTAATGGAGTATTCTGTTGGTGACTAGCACTCTCTGTTCTCAGTATTTTAACTAATTAAAGAATTTTATTCTCTGCAATTCCACAAAATCCTTCTACTAATATAAGAAATGTCTAACAAATTATTCTTTGCTAAAAATGAATTTTAACAGTGTGTTTATTCTGGTCGATTAAGTTCTTTTTTCGGTTAACAATTTGTCGTTTGTTAGTAATGAAAAGAATGACTAGATCAGTTGAATTCATTAAGTGTTTGTCGTTTGTAATCATGTTTTAACGACTAAAAGACAGAGGTCTGTTGATTAATCAATCCTGCTTAAGGACTAGTCGTATTCGTGAGAAAGATCAATGGTTTTAAATAATAGACAACAAAGAATATAACGAAAAGATTAGCTTTAGAATCGTGTTAGTGAAAATTAGATCTTGTCCTTTTGCGTCAAACCATATTTAGCTAATGGACCAATCAAATAGAGGGCTTTTTCAATTTCTTCCAATCACAATGAGAGTATGAAATACAATTTTGATAGACAAACACATATTCATCGCTAACTTATTCAAAATAAAATAAATAGATGTTTGTAGATTTCATAAATTTGAAATTTATTATCCATCATCAAATTTACCAAACAGCGCGGCCTTCCATTCTTCATAGGACGGGACACAATCGATGACTGACCAGAAGTTAGCTAAAGCAAAAGTTATATTTGTACTAGGTAAGAACAAACTGAAAATTTCTCGTATAATTATTATTATGATTACTTCACTTGGGTTTTTCGATCGATAATGATTAAAAGTTTTGCAAATACTTTATCTCAAATCCGTCATTTCTAACATTTGTTGGAATTTCTGAATTTCCGGATTTTAAGTATTTTTAAAGTAAGCTACTATAGAATAACATAGAAATTAATTTCTCACCTAATAAATGTAACTCCGGTTTCTTGTATCTTATTCCTACATTATGTAATGTACTTTAAAAGGCTATGTAGGTTTCAAAAAAGTGGTGGACCATTTGCTTGTTGGACAAGACACGTGAGCGTACAATATGTTTTCATTAATCTTGTCATTAATATTTACTGAATAATAATTAGATTGGTGTCCCATACTAGGATAAGATGATGGTCTAGCTAGAATTAGTTCGTGATTTTAAAACTATAAAAATAGGGAATTCTTTGTTGGAATAAATGTCTGTCAGGTTGACTTAGTTATACTATGCATTATTAAAGACTGACGTGTTGACGAAGCGCATGTGCTTACGCATAATTGATCGTTAGATCGCAAAATCAATTCTTGTAAGTGCATTTCCTAGGTTCGTGAAAAGTATTGAATACTACAGGAAGTAGGTTGTGTGAAAGTTTGTAACCATTCTATAACTAGGTTTACCTATGAAAAACTAGCTTTCTGTTTGCACAAAATGTTGATAATTTGAAAGTGTTTTCTACGAAGTTGTGCAAGTTTTTAATCAGCAGTAGTAGATGAGCATGTAATCTATGCTAATTTAGTAGTTTATTGTTACATACTTCATTTGTTTAGTCTGTTTTGTTTTACATTTATATCACATGTTTATCACCATTTAAAAAAAAATTTTGTGCATGAACTAATTTTCAGAAATTAACTACCAAACAAGTAGTCGATAGGATACCATAGAATTAGGTTTCGTCCTACTTAATACCCATCAGCAAGATGTTCTGGTCCTTTTGGTGGGACTGGTCGTTGGCGGATCCGATCTGTCATGCAACTTCACAGTCACAAACATTATCACTGGGCTATTCTTGCCTCGAGTGAATTTCTGTGGGAGTGAGATGAATTAGAACTGATCACCGAGTATTGACCATCATATTTGTTAAACCCTTCTTATCGGTGATCTGATTTTTCCCTGGACTGTGAAAATGGATGATACGGATCGAAGCCGCAAGCGAACATCAGTCCTCTCAAGATTACAGTTCTACCTTACTGAAGAGTACCAAACAGCATGATACCGTAATCTAGGGTTTTCGGTCTACTAACTTCAACCTAATAACATATTAACATAGTGAACGGGATTTCGAGGCAAGTAGTCTAGGGGCTACATTGCAACTTGATTGACTGAATCCAAAGCATAAAATTCAATATCTGAAATATCTGTGTGAGAGAATTCATGTGAAACTTTATTTAATACAAATCATGTAGAGTTATTTAAATATTGTTTTATGGTAAATGTAAGTGGTGACTGACTAATTCAGAATGATGAATGTTGAATTTCGAAGTTGAAAATAACCTGGAATTATATACGTTTAAATTCAATAGGATTGTTCTCGCTTGTCAATCGTTTAACCATGTGTCTAATATTTGGCATGAATACGTTTTGTTTACATCCACAATCATAAAGATATACTATTCTTCTTAGCTAACGTCTGTAAAATAAATGGTAGCTTGAGATTTGATATCATCAAAAAAACTTTCTATTCAAACACTCAGCTATGTAGCACGTATATAATGTAAGTATCAACCAGTAATCCAGTAAAGTTAATTTGTTTGCAGGAAATAATTTAATCCACAGCTTAGACCACAGATTCCTTTAAAAAAATTGTAAGAGATGGTCTTTGAAGTTAACAAACGGTATTTCTAGTTGAATATGAAAATCCCTTAGTTAATACAAGTACTGAGTCTGTATCCGTGGATTTGTGGGACATTTGCCTTTCAACAATCAATGTGTGCAATATCTAGTTTTTTTCGTTTATTTATTCAGTGGATGCTGTCCGTGAGAGCATAATTTTAACCATGGATTTCAGTTCAAGGTTCGTTTCTCCCTTTACTTTCTAAACCCTGGAGTGCGGGATATTCTATAGTTTCCTATTCATGAAAGACATGCAGATCGCTTTAGGTGATTAAAATGAAGTTCCCGATTAAATTTAAACTCATTACCTACGACCCATCAAATAAATGAGAAAAGACTCGAAAATCCTAGCTCTGTTGTGATTCTGATTATCCGGTTTTGATATCTGATTAGTCCTAGCAAACGAACATCCTGGTTGTGCCTCGATATAACAATTATGATACAAACTGATATGGTTAGCAGTAGCACACATGTTTCGTCCTATTTGAACTTGTCAACTAGATGTATCTGTATCCCAACTCGGAGACTCGATCTCAGTGACATTCGCTTCAAAAGTCATCGCATTATTCACTTAGCTATGGAGTCCGAATGGCCATAACCTTGTGCAATGGGTATGAGATTCAATCCGATTTCAAGTGGTTTGAATTAACCCGTTTTTAATATATGAAGTGGGAAGCTTTCCTCATGCATTCGTCGTTCACGTACCTAACCTGTGCGGCGACGTAGACACACATTCCGGTTACAGTAATTTCTACATATAAGAACCAATTCGCTAACAGGTCTGATCAAAAATAGACTGAACAACAGTTCTTTTAGTTAAAACTTCACTAAGAGGAGACTTATTTTGATTTTCAATAGTAACAATGAAATTTATGTCTTATAACTAAAATTACAATTTAGCTACAGCTACTTTTTATTCTCTGAACCACTTTATTATATGTTGTGTATGTCGTTGTGTTTTATGCATTCCCGACTTGATGAATGCACATGGTAAATGAGGCAAGCTAATTCCCACCATGCAGAAACTCTGTTTAAAACAACAAAAATAATCGTATTCCCTTTACTCATTCAAAATTCACGTCTTTACACACCAGTAAAATGTTAGTTTAAAAAGTATCACAATTTATAAAACACTTTTATGAAGAATTCACCAGTTGTATGTGATTATTCAGTAAGTACAGTTTCTTGATTTATTTGTCTTCATGTTTTCACTTGCTTTACTTTATATGTAAAAGGAATAACTGGGCCACACTACAGATCATAACAATAACAAGTCTATGGCTCATTTAATTGTAGACACAATTAAACAAGCTTATATTATTTTTAAAAACACGTGCATTATGTGCACTTATCTATAAACTATCTATGCAGGTTGCTGTTAACGGTCTAAGAAGTATTATTGTCACATTTTTTGAATGAATATTTTAGAACAGAATGTTAAGTTGTTGATATTAATTTAATATCAAGTCAGTATCTAAATGGTTATACTCTGTTTGTATTCAAGAACTATGAGTAAAACAGTCTCCTTTTCATTTTACATAACTAGACTTATTTTATGAACTTAATGTCTAGTCTAGGAAAACGACATAAGTCCGTTTCATCAAATTAAAAGAAACATCTGTATTCAATGCAATGTGTTGTCGGAAATTCACGTTAACATCGTCAAAAGACTTAACCATTTCTGGATTTCTACGTTAAACAATAAAACTAGCGTTTCCGGTGGTTTCACCATAAACGAGTAGCGCTTCATAGACAACTAAAATTGAAATGTGAACAATCATTGGATATTTATCTATTGACTGTAAAGTTTAAATTAACTGCTACAGTGAATCCTAATAATTTATATGAACTATTCTATGTGGTTATAAATGATCAAGTTATCCTAATTCGAATAATTAGACTAGTTTTAACCCAATCAGATCAGCTGCATCCAAGTTAGTCAGATTGTATATGTGTGTTTGTTTTGCTGTATTTATCTTTATAGTTAGTTGTGTGATGTTTTCCAAATTTAACTTTACATCTGAGCAAGAAATAAGAGGAAAGCTCTATGTAATCAGTGAACCATATATAAGTTTAAGTTGATCACTCATTGTAACTACTGACATTTGTATTGATGAGAATATTTGTGATTCCTGATAAAATGATTTGCATCTTCAATACTAAACAAATCTGTCTAAAATGATTTTGAAAAATAATCTCTTTATTCTTTAAAATGACTCACATACAAACGCACTAGATTTTATTTGTCATTGGCTGACATCACTGATGGTCCCGTCGTTGACAGCTGTTTCGCTTCAATGAGAGACTCTTCTGCACAGAGCGCTATTGCTGACAGTCTAAAACGAATGGAATCTGCGAACTGAATTATTCTCCTCAAAAATTCTCAGTAATACTATAACCAGACTACTTATTCTCTTACACATTGAAATCATCATTCTTGATCTGGTTTTTGAAACAGTTACTTAACTTCTGTAACCTTCAATTTCCTAAATAATAGTCTATCTTGTTTAGCTGAAATAAGTTGATGATTACTATTTTTGTTTAATTTTTTTCAAATATTTGAAAAAAGGTGGACCAGGGAGTGGTAAGGGTACACAATGCCAAAAATTAGTTGAAAAATTTCATTTTAATCACTTATCCAGTGGTGATCTTTTGCGGGATGAAGTTAAGTCTGGTTCACCAAAAGGTAAAGAGATTGAAGCTATTATGGAGAGAGGAGAACTTGTTTCTTTGGTAAGTTACAAAGTTTATTCACTATTCTTTATTTGCAACACAAGTTAAAAATTCACATGACTTTTTTTAGCACGAATATTTCACTTGTTTGGAATCTGCAAATTTTACTGCCTTAAATCATTTTAGTGGGATAATCATGGTAACTTTTAATCACGAATTTATTTAGGAATTTTTTGTTAGAATAATGTAAGTTTGTTTTCGGAATAAGGTTTCATCGATTAGAGAATGATTATTATATAAGGTTAATAACTTCAAAAAGAACAGAACTCTGGATTACATGATTTTACTGTCAACTCAATATCTTCAAGCTGCTAAACCAAGATCTAGTGGTTCCTGTTTCCCAAGTCCCAGTTACTTTGTAATGTCTCGATGATTTTTAAGGTTGACCAAGTTGGGATTAAAATAGCTTTTGGTTGAGTATTGGTTTCGAGATTTAAAAAGTTATTTTCTTTGAGTCTAAATATGAAGCGTCCTAAAGAATTTCAAAATGAATAGAGATTTATCTCTCAACAAAAATGTCAAGTACACGTTACTGTTTATTTGCTAAGGATGTTCAATCATCTCTGTTTTTCACCGCATTATTGAAAGCAAATAACTAACTGTTGTGACCAATAAACCTTTTCTATAGTTCACTGTGACTTGAAAATTTATTTTAAAAGCTTTTCGAACGCGTAGTTTAGTTGTTAATATTCACTTCCAAACAACACAAAATGTATGATTACTTATAGATAACATTAAAGTTAGATAACTCCTTTTTTTAGGAAAATAACAGCAAGTCTTCAGCTAACCTAGATTCGCTCTATCAGTGAACAAAAATAGCATAACTTACAAATAAGTACAGATGATAGTTTGCTTCATCAAGTAGGCTGAATAGAGCCGATATCCTATGTCTACTAGATGAACTGCTCATTTATCAGGTGTAGTGTGTACTCATTAGCCTTCTCCAACGCGCTTCTCCAATTCACGTCGCTTCGTTCGTTTTATTCACTGCTTCTCCGCTTCGCTTTGTGGTGTATCCCAAATAAACGTATTCAACACTACGAGTTCGTTTTCTGATTTATAAACCGTCAAACGCTAGTTAGTAACGATTGTCTGGACTAGCTAATTACCGAGCTTAAGAACATGCAGTAAATCGACACACTGCACAGGTTAACCGTAATGAAGTATTGTAGTTTGATGGTTACAAACCAATGTTCTGTTGTATAACATAAAATTCTGACTGAATTATATCTACCTCGTTAGTAAGTTGGTGGGTGATAAGATAAAATAGACTTGACATTAATATGTAATTCACTAGATCTTATACAATAAATGACTTTGAACCTCATACAAAATGTATGCTAGTAACATCAGAGAGTATTTAGTCTAGATAGAATCAGATGCTTAAAATACTATGTACCTTGATTATTTATGCAAAGATGTTCAGAAAACTTTTTAATCAACACTGTTTATAGTGCAAGGCATTATAAATAGAAATAAACTATGCCATTCATTTAGAAGTTGATATTGACATTCACTGCGAAACTGTTACTTAATTACCAATAATTCTAAGATAAGATAATAATTGTCAGACTTTATTCATGAAAACCTTTAAATAAATGTTAGTATAATTACCCTTTGATGAAACCATTTAGTTAATACTATCGCGTAGTCCTATGAACCGAAAATAATCTTGTACAATGTTTTTGAAAAAACTAATCATTCCAATAAAACTAATGGTAATAATAACAGTTTGTTGGATTACCTGATATGTTTTGATCACTTTATGATGACACCGGTTACTCTGTCTTATTCTGAATATTCATTAATTAATAAAAACAGAATATGATATCTCGTTAAAAAGAACTCATTTTTCGTCTTAGATTCTAATGGATTGAGAAATTTTCGACATTCATCATTTAACTGTCACAAAATCCACCGAATTTCTTCTCTCAGTTATTTATTTTAGAAAAAAAAGTAATTTACGCTATAATGAATAGTTCATGTAGTATAAACCTGAATTGTTTTATCAACTCTATGGTTCAGTGGCGCATCAATACATTGTCATGAGTAGATGTTTTCTTTTGTCAAAGTCTTCATCAAAAACAACTATTTCGTTTATGTATTCACCTTATCTATAAGCAAATCTCCAGGAAGAAGATTGATTCCTGAAACGTTTAACGAAGAACGAACTTTCTCTACAATAATGTTCGTGACTTAGTTAATTTTCCTACTTCAGAGATTGTGTAAAGCGTCAGGTTACTTATGAAGGTAATTAACATTATGTTCATTTGATGTCAAATATATATCTGGCTTTACCTACATAAGCATGAGAAGCTGAGTATTACAGTCTCAATCGTGAAAGTTGTTCAAAGCCATTAAACAAACCTGAAGTTGATAGACAAGCTACTTATTTTTTTAGCTTGTTTGTCGCTAATCCCAATCAATGTATGACCTGGCACAAACATGCCTTAACTCAATTTGACCTACCATATCACTTCGATTAGATGAAATTTTCAAGCTTTATTGCAGTTGAGTAGATATTATCTTAAAAAAGAATAGTAATACTCAACCTATTTTTAAACGTGATATTTCCTGAGTCCTGTTCATATAATATAAGAAGTAATTCTTTACGTTTATGTTCCTATGTTATCAGTTAATCATTGCATTTTATCCTTTTCATGTTTTACAAAGGAACTTGTCTTGGCCTTATTGAAAGAAGCCATGATTAAACTTGTTGACAAGAATTGTCATTTCCTTATTGACGGATATCCACGTGATCTAGATCAAGGCATAAAGTTCGAAAAGGAGGTAAACGTTGAATATTACATTTATCACTCAGTGTAACTAATTTGCTATAATTCGGATTTTTTATAGTTACATTTTGAACAGTTTCTATACATGCGTTTGTATTGCCGATCTTAAACTAATAAGCAAAATAGTGGATCGCTTCTAGCGACATAAGTTGTTAATATTTAGTAGAAAAGTAAAGTTTTATTCTGGTTAAGAGTCATCCTGTGTATTTACCTTCATTCATGTCGATGTCCGTACTAAGACATGAAGTTTATGGGTACCTGTAGCTTTAAATGACAAAGCATGATTCACTTGTCTTTGGAGTAAGTACGTTCGTCAGTTTATTCTACGAATGTCTAATGTCAGCTGCAGTTGTAAGTATTTGAAATTTAGCGTCTTTGATATGCAAAACTGAATAGATCAGTCTATGTGGACTATTCAGAATAAAACAATTCAGGGGATTAATAAAATTCTTAGATACTTTCTTGCTTCCTTTCGCCCGTTAAACTTCATGAAGCATAGACCGCTGACTAGAATTATTCAACCAATCTATCCTGGACCTTCCTTTCTAGTTCTTTCCAATCTCTATCCATTCTTTTCATGTGTGTCTCCAGTGCTCAGCCCAATGTTCTTCGTTTTACCGCTTCTCCTTTCGCCTTGAGGATTTCAGGCTGGGGCTTGCCTTGCAACGCATTTGGGTGTTTTTCGTAACATGTGCTCTGTCCACCTCCAGCACTTCTTCCTAATTCTTTCAGCTAGAATCTAGTCTGTTCTGTCCCCATAGTAGGTTGTTACCGATGGTGTCTGGCCAACGGATTCATAGTTTCTTGTGTAGACAGCTGTTACTAAATACCTTTATCTTGTGTAAAGTGACTCATAATTTTCCAAGTCTCCGCTCCATACAATAGGATGGCTTTGCCGTTCGTTTTGAAAATCGTTACTTTGGTGTTTGTTGGTAGTTGTCTTGAGTTTCAGATGTTCTTCATTTGTAGAAATGTTGCCCTTGCCTTGCTAATATGTGTCTTCACGTCTTCACCTTGTTTATCGATTGTGCTGCTGAGGTAGAAGAGCTAGGTCGTCTGCGAAGTGCGAATCGTCTAACTGCAGCCAAGCTGTTCACTGTATCCCTTGCTTCACCTGAGATATTGAGGTCTCCATAAATTAGTTAACCACCAGAAGAAAGAAAAAAGTGGGAATAAACAACTGTGTGTATGACCAGTTTTCATTTGGAATAAGTTTGTATACTGTCTTCCATGCACGATTTTGCAGTATAACCCATCGTAAGAGTTTTATATAACGTTAGCCATCGCAGGTACACTGTAGTGTCGAAGAGGTCTCCATAATGGTCTCCTATCCACGTTGCTAACTGCTTTCTATTAGTCACGGAAGTTGATGTAGAATGATAAGTTCTACTCAGTTGACTGTTCCACAATGATGATGATCTGATGATCTGTCCTTACGGAATGCAGCCTGCTGATCTCAAAGTCGGATGTCTATTGAATTTTTCGTCCGGCTGATCAACACTGCTAAAGATTTTCTGGTTAAAGTGATGCTTTTGTAGTTCTCACCCTCGTTAAGATCTGCTTTCTTTGGAATCTTGATGAGGCGTTGTTCTTTCCAGTCTGTTGGCACTTGTTCTCTCCCTCCCAAATCTTGCAGAAAACGCTAACTAGACAGATATTAGCTACTAAGTAAAAGGAAATACATTCCAGTTTCTAACATCCTCGTTTTGAACTTAAACAAATCATAAAACAATTGTGTAAGTCCACGTTTCTATATCAGTTTCTTCTCATAACACTGACTTATTTTTTTATTCTCTTCAATCAATAAAACATATCAGTTAGTCAAGAAAAGTCATATGAATAACTTTTTAAAAACTATTGTCAATCAATCAATAATCAATCCTTTAATAGATTATTACATATTTTGAACAGTATCAGTCGATCTGACTTAATTTCCATTTCAATAAACCTTATTTATCGAACATATTAGATTATTGCAGTTCTTTAATAAGCTACATTTATATATGATTTTATTAAAATTCGTTTTTCTTTTATTGATTGTTTCGGTATTCACCTTTTTTTTACCAGCCTACTTTTGTTTATATCTATCGGACATTTCAGCATAGAATTGTATTTTACTGTATTACTATGACTACGTTATAAATACACAACATAAACATTGGTATTTATTGACCGTAAACGAGTATCGGTTTCTTTTGTAAATGTACTTTTTGATATGACTCTGATTAATTGGAACATTCCTATCTAAACCATATTTTGTAGGTCTGACTTTCATAGTTTGTCTTGGTGGTTGCTACGGCGTTGGAAGCTTACTTACTTACTAACTCACGCCTGTTACTCCCAACAGAGCAAAGGCCACTTGACCAGCATTCTTCAACCTACTCTGTTCTGTGCCTTCCTTTCTATCTCTGTCCAACTTTCTTATTCTTCACATGTCTGTTTCCGTTTCTCGGAGTAACGTGTTCTTTGGCCTCCCTCTTTTCCTTTGACTTGAGGATTCCAGGTCAGGGCTTGTCTTGTGGGGCAGTTGGGTGACTGCGTTAGAAGCTGAGTAATAATTTCTCATCACCTGGCATTTTAAGTTGTCTGGAGTACAGCTATGATGGTTACTGATGTGTCGAGACAGATGTTTCAAAACAAACCAAAAGAAATTAGGCTCAACAGATCAACCCAGTAAGTATATCAGGAGAGGGTAAGATAAATAGGAATAAGTCATAGACTTATGAATGGTCTATATGCCATACAAACCTGCCATAATAACAAACACACATCAAACAAACAGGCACTGTATAAAATGTGTGTGTGCAAAAAAGTCAATAATTCATAATACGGGAATAAGTACGAAATGGTTTAATTAAAGTAAAATGACAATTTAATTAAGAACAGGCGTGTATGGAAATATGGCTATTAAGCTTGGGATTAAGTACATATATTTTTTTAATGAATACACTTTATTTTCGGGCAGAGTATTGGAGGTTTGTGTTTTTACACATTTGAAATCATCAATCAATCATTGTTAGACAATCATTAGAAACGCTTCGTCCTGGTATGGGGCTCATCAGCAGTACGCATCCATGACTCCTGCACCTCATAGGATTCGAACCCGGGACCTTCGTTATTGTAACCGAACTCCTAATCATCGGACCACTGGGCCGGCATCCAATGGTGTTAATGTCTAACTCTGATTGATCTACAGATCTTACGTGACCTCACCCATTTGTCTTTGGTAGTTACTGCCTACACCCGACAGGGTTGAACTCCGTTTGTCACAAAAATATTCATTTTCAACATCAATTTATCAAATTTGTTCTTCAGAAACAAAATGATCACGTACCTAATAAAAACAATGATATTCATATAGAAAGATACATCAGCTTGAATATCAGTTTAAAAATCTTTGAAATTCTCTATATATTGATAAAGAATGATATTTTTCCAGTTCAATATAATTTGTACATTTACTCTGATATCGTAAAAGTATTAACTAACCATTAAGTGATAATTAATATGTTCACATTTTACAGATATGCCCTTGTCTCTGTGTAATTAGTTTCGATGTAAGTGAACAGGTGATGCGTGAAAGAATACTGAAAAGAGGAGAGACAGGTAATCGTGTTGATGACAATGAAGAGACAATTGTGAAACGTCTTCGCACTTTCAATGAATCGACCAAACCTGTTATTGAACACTATAAGAAACAAAATAAAGTAATCACTGTAAGTGTTGGTATAAGCTATTGATTTTGTTTGGTTATAATTATTATTGTATGACCATTAGAAACTATGCATGCTTATTACCGCTAATTTACATAATAATGAACTACGTGTAAAGATTTAAGAAATATATATTTTTGTATACAATTTTCGATTACTACAGTACTTTTCTGAATAAAGTTAAATAGATATACATTGATTTATTTAATCAGTTTAAAAATGACATGATTTTTATTCGGTCACTTTACACTTAATCGATCAGGTAACTAGCTGATTTACTCGAGCAACCATCAATAATATATTTTTTAAAATTGTAATTTGACTGACTACTAAATACAGTTGATTGTTGACAAGTCAGAAGGCCACTTGGATTTTATATCATCCATTGTAAACTGAAAATTTGTGAACTAGTTTGTTGAAAAATTCCTTTCGCATAAATTTGCACAAATAGTAATCAGTGAATAATAATATAATTGTACACGAAATCCAGAAAGTCACGTTTTTCAAGTACGTCTTAGAATCTTTTTTCAGAAGTACGTGCATTAAATCAATAGTAATCGTAGTCATTTAAGTTAAAAAGAAGTACCAAATAAGTAAATAGACAGACAGACAGACAAATACAATGCAGAACTTTGTACGTAAGTACATCGCAGTTCAGGTTGCCATGCCCCATCAGCGCAGAGACGCAACTTTCAATTCAAATCTGAGAGTGATAGCAATAATAGAAGTATTAGCAGTAATGGAGAAGATTAGGGAGCAAAGATATGATTCGAGAAGTATAATTCAGTCAGATAAATTTAGAAGGAGAAAGGTGGAGATTATGAGGAATTCAGAAGGTTAGAATTAAAAAGCACACTAAGAGTGGATGCACCTGCGCAATTGCAAACGATTCTGAACCATATCGTTCAAGGTCTCTAACCATCGGTGACTATCGTCTCGTGGACCCCAACCAGATAGCAGCCTACATCTACCAACATGACTCAGTCCACTAGTCAGTGACTTCATGGATTTTTGCCATGTTTTGGTCTGGCTGCCCCTAGCTTTTTTCCAACCTACTCCTACACCACAAAACATTGCTCGTCGCGGCAGTCGGTGGTTGGACATTCGTAACACATGTCCCAACCAAAATAAGTAAATATCCAATAGTTGATTCCTTTCTTTTACTCAGGAGTAGAAGGAAGGCTTTGTGTCTGAATTTTGAAAAAAAAGGCATCAGTAACTAGAGGATGACAAATGACACAGCTGAAAACCAGCTAGGCATGATTGATTATTCAGTCATTTTATACTTATCGAAATTCCAATAGATGCATTGCTCTATTGACTTTTCAGTATTTATCTATTGGTCCCATTTTTCTACAACCATATTCTATCATATGTTGTGAATAATCAAACAATACGTTATTGAATACAGTAATAAAGCGACAAAACCGAAGTGTAAAAGGTTATTTTTATTGAGAAATTAAAAATCCACTTGTTAGAACTTTGAGCTTTAGTCAACAATCCAGTAAATACCACGTGAAGATTATGGAAGTTGATTGCGCAACAGTGTAATTGGGTAGATAACGGAGAGTGAAGTAAATTGGTTAAAAGAACCAATTTAATATAGTAAGAAAGACCGAGAGGATAAACTGTTGTGGAAAACTGTGACATAATATTAGGACAACGAATTAACTCTTATTTCAATAGATTAATTGCTACCTCCTCCTTCGCAGATTCTATGTAGTTTAATGCAACATTTTATAGCATAATGAAGTGGTCTACTATCATATCATGTGAATTATTTGACTGGTTGTTGAATTTTTGTGCATATAATGTTCATAGTAGGTGTGTAGAAATTGGCGAATTAAGACTTGTACTTGTGGGACAAACTACGACATCATAACGTTTTAGTAAAAATATAATACATTCCTTCTCGATTTTGATTTCGGCATTAAAAAATATTTAGCACAACGTCTTGACAGCGTTTACACAAAGATCGATTTCCTGAACAGTTTAAATTAAAATGAATCCATTTTCAAACTAATAAAATCAATTTCACAAAAATATGAACATTTTTGAATGTGTTGCGAAGTGTTTGATGTTTCAATACACCCTATACGACTGCAGAAGTTTGTGATTGTTAGTTTGATTGTCAGATAAATTTTCAAATAAATACTGAAAATTTATCTTAAATTAGCAAGCTATTGGATATAGAAATGTGTACAGTTTATCAATCCTCACTTTTCGAGTACTTAACAGACTATAAGATATTTTAGCAAAGATAAATACGAAAAGTTCATCGGCATTGAGGATCGATAATTATGGGATAGTGAACTGAGAATCAGAATGAATAATTGCAAAATGCGGTTGAAAACGATCGACTGTACACTCCGTACTTAGGTTGCCTTCCAGGTGGAACTCGTCAGAAACGCAAAACTGGAGTCTTAATAGAACTCATTCCCAACTTGTTTCCCTGTTTGAAATCTACAGGATTAGACATCACAATCAAAGAAGTTACTACGGAGCTGTTCGTATTTTAGAGAATCAGGGTTTTAAATTAAATTTAACTAACTAAACTGATTCTTCATCACTGTTGAATACTGTGTTTATCTAAAACTTGTTATTGATCGCATCCTATCCATCAGCAATTGAAAATATTTCATGACTGAACTAGTGGTAAACAGAACTTGTACTAAACAATTAAGTGTAACTTCATGTTTTAGCGGTTTCTTAACCAATTATTTTCAATTTATTAGTCGCGCAACATATTACTTCACAAAAATAAATCACTATCTTATATCCTAAATAAATAATAACCAGATAACTGATGATCATGCCATAAGTACCTGTGCCCGATTGTTTTTTAATAACGATTTTGTAACGGATATTTTTCTAGTCAATCAAATGTTCAACACCTTTGTTTTTCTTTTCACTTACACAGATTGATGCTTCAGATACAGTAGAGGCGGTAAACGAAAAAGTTACCCATGAACTTCAAAAATTTGGTGTGAAATGATTCGGTTATTTGCTTCCCTATGTCATTGTCATCATATTCACTTAATGTTGTGTTACTTTATTTCGTTCAAATATTTTGAATATTGATTTATCTTATATTGTACTATTATTGTTTATTACTACTATTATCATTATTATTATTATTATTGTTATTATCATTATACTAATTTATATTTTAGAACTTAAGAGATGATAAATTTCACTGTTAAATAGTGGATTTTAACCAGAAGAGAGTGTTTTTGTTTGTTTTTTATTTATTATTTGTTTGCACCGTTAACTTCTTCATTTTATCTTAATTTTGCACGATTAAAGTGCTTTTGTATTTGTATTTTGTTTTGTTTAAACTTCTTTTTCTCCCAAGATTTTTCAATGCATAGTTATTGTCTTCTTCTAGATTGTTCGGCTTTTCATCTTTCATCTAAGGATAACTTATGTTTAGAAAGTGCCATTGAATATAAACAAATAAGTTGTCGATTTCTTATTTCATTATCTTACTAGTAAGCTATCTAATTAATACTAAATAAAAATAGTATGTTATGCTTAATTTTAACAAATTAAATATTCATTGAATACTTCATTTGAAATAATTAGAACGAGACAGAATAATTGAAGACAATGTCCAGAAGCTTATAGTGGAGACATTATTTAAAATTGACTAATGTATCCCTATGATTATTTAAAATTGACTAATGTATCCCTATGATGTACATGGTTATGTTAGTTTGAGACTACAGGATTGTAGACTGAAAACTGGACTGCAAATTAAGTTTTCTTTAAACACACCGAAACTCGAGTACTAATCTATGACTAGAAAAGGTGGAATCCATTTACGTATTCAGGGCTTGGACACAAGTTAGCTTAAATTTCAGTTATTTATTGAATTTAAAGCATGCTGACGTGTTTTGTCATATTTCGCAAGTTTCACGCTATATAAACTCATGATCGAATATGGGATCGGTCTTAGTATATTTAAGTTTCACAACCAGCATGCATACCTTATACAATTCACCCAGTTGTTTCCTCATTTCATTATTCAGATTTTCAACTTGTTTGGCAAGGTTTCGTTAATATTGAGTACATGAAAACTAGTATTCGATGACTGATAGGTGAATAGTTATCAAACAAATAAGCAATCAAGTGCCCTAATGTGTTATCGTTGTGGCAAAATATCTCTACTAGTGCATTTGATAGGTTTAAGGAAGCAGTTGTCTGTAGAAATGCTTCTTTTTTGGACGGCGCTATGCTTTGCTTCAGATCAGCCTGAAATCTTATCTGCTTTCAAAGAAAGATGGCACATTTTTTATGAAGGCTGGGAATCACAAACTTATCCAAGTTAGACAGTTGTATTGTGTATGAGGTTATCCACGCAGTACGACAGATGGTCACGCAATATTTTGAGTTGGCAACCAGGTTTTCACTAGCTGTCTGGCTTTGGTCGGTCCAGGATTTTAATGATGTTGTGAAATATGTTTATTTTATTTTAAATTTTGGCATTTCGCCGAGATTTATGACGTTAAATTTAATTTGATATCAGCTATCTGCCACTTGACTTCAGAATAACCCATTAGTTAACGAACGTCTCTACTTTGTCTCTGAGACATAATTTGTGATATTGCTCTGTTCTTTACATGGCTTCACTATCAACCTTCACTGATTTGCTAAGTACTTTTCTACGTCCCGTCTTTCACGTTGTTCTATATGGTTTTAAACTCTACTTCATTTGCTACGGTATAAAAACTTTGCTCATAATAATGTTACTAATAGCAACTTTGAACCGTTCGCTGTTGAAGAGAGGTCTCGAAATATAATGAAGTCATTCTATTCTGCTAATAATGTTGTTCCCGGTTTGTAAGTTTAACCAGGAATCAAAATGCATAAAAAATAAATTTTCGTTTTCTGTTTAATGTTTAAATTTCCCTCGCAAATAAGCAGTAAAAAGTATTTTCAAAATAAATTTCGGTTTGTGCAGTTTTTTTCCGTAATTCAGCTTTTAGATTTTACCACGAGTAAGTACTCCTATTCCCTGATTTCAACTGAACAGCTATATTCTAATAAATAAACAGATTCGAAAATAATTTGCTAAATATATTTTTAATTAGTTTTTGTTTGCTTCCTAACAAAATGAATATTTCTGATCGCATGCAACAGTAAGATGAAATAACCTATACTTTTATTTCAAAGGTATTAGTTATCTAAAGTTGTTCAACGATATAGACCGATCTCACTAATAATTTTATTTCGACAATCAACCAGCTAAGTAATAATTGTTAACTCATTACTGTCTGAGTTCATGATAAATCCTTGTAGTGCGAATTAGAGATTTAATGTAATTTTGACTGTATCGGCATTGAAGATGTTATTAATGATACTTAATAATAGTTTCGATGCATCATCAATTAACTGCATGTGTATATATTTACCGTTGTCAAGTGATTTCGTGGTTTAATATAAGCGCTGTCACTAATATTGAGTTCCATATCTAATGTACTTGTTGGTATTATAAAAACAGTTAGGTGGTCATGTAGGTGATTCCTATCCGGAGGCGGCATGGATTGACATCCAAAAGTTTGTGAAAATAGCAGTGATATCTGTTAGTAAGGTAAATCATAAAATTAAGAAGCCGTGGATCTCATTAGCATCTACCAAACTGATAGACGCTCGGATATTTATTCCTCCTTGCTCTGAACATAACGAAGAGCGAAGTCAGCCTGAGCGCAGGCTGATAAAAAGCCTACGTGATAATCGCGAACGTTGGTGGGTAGAGAAAGCAAGGGAGATGGGAAAGGCAACGGAGATAGGCAACCATAGACTACTATTCAGACTCTTTAAGGAAACCGGTATTAGAAATCCGACTGTATGTGCGACTGTCTCAAAAAAGGATGGTCTTATTACTCATTCTCAATTCAGGAGATTGAATCGACGGACAGAACACTTCAGGGATCAGTTCAATCGGCCTCCAGCTACACTTCGGTTGCTCACGATATCCAGTTAACCTGAATGGTGAATAGACATAAGTCGTCCGACTGTTTAAGAAGTTGAGAAAGCGAAGGAGGGCAGCGGGTCCGAATAGATTGACCACCGAGATTTTTATGAATGGTTGTCCATTCTTAGCAGTAAGTTTGACGCAGATAGTAGATAGAATTTGGGAACTGGAGGTAATATCATAGGACTGGTCTCAATCGCTGATTGTCCCAATTTATAAGAAAGCACAAAAGTCTTCTTGTGACAATCACAAAGGAATCAGTTTAACTAATATAGTTTCTAAATTTTTAGCCCCGATAATCCTTAGACGCCTAGACGACTTTCGGAAAATCACATCATTCATCGCTAACCAGAGGATGAGATATCCGTTTACTAAATAAAGGATGGGTGCGCTGTGCATTAGTACGTTCCGTTTTACTTTATGGCTGCGAAAAATGACCGGTCAGAGTGGGAGGTATTCTTAGGTTGCCGGTTTTAGATCACAGATGTCTCCGAAGCATTGCATGTGTGTGCTGGTACAACCGAATAAGAAATGCTATCGTTAGGAAACCGGTACTACGTATGGATGGTAAATAGAGACATGAAGTATTGAAACTTCATCATTTGAGGTGGTTGGGACATGTATTGCGTAAGCCTAACCACCAACTGCCTCGTCGAGCTATGCTTTATGATGTAGAGTAAGGTTGGAAGAAACCTAGGGGCGGCCAGACATGGCACAAACCAATGAAGTCACTGACAAGTGGACTAAGTCATATTAGTAGGTGTCGACTACCTGGTTGAGGTCCTCGAGATGATAATAATCGATGGTTAGACACCCTGAATGACATTTCTCGAAACCATTTGCAATGACGCAGATGCCTCTACTGTTTGTCTTCTCTCAAATCCTAACCTTCTGATTTCCATATCATCTTTATCTTTCTGTTTTTAAGTTTATTTCACTAGATTCTACTTCTTGAATATTATCGTCTAGCCCTGATCTCTCTGAATACTGCTAGTACTTCAACTACCTCTACTAATATGGGATTTGCATTGACAATTGCACCTCTGAGCTTATGTGGCATGGCAAGTGAAACTTATGTACGTACGTACCAGTTTCTACGCTATCACTGACTGACTGATTGTACTTGTTGGCGGACAGTTAAGAGAACGTCTAAATAGCTTTTTGTTGTCACCCTTATTTTCTATGTTTCGGATAAAATCAGTTTACGACTAAAGCTATCGATAAATCCTACCTACAATTTATGTATCCTTTCATTTGGTTAATTCTAGCAGTCTATTATGACTTTCACTGTAAAAATAGCTACTACATATTACAATCGAAACATGAGTTTGCATAAACTCTAGAGATACTCAAATGAGACACCACTTTAAGGAATGTAACGTTTACCAATTTGAATCCTTCATTAAATCGAACAATGAAATACTCAAAAACGTTTTATATAGCCAGTATCATAAAACTTGACATGACACTTTATGAATGGGTTCGAATGTTTTCTCAAAGCATACACTGTTTATATCAATCTGGTTATTAATTGAATTTATATTGTCTCATTGAATATTGACGGTGTATATTAGAATAAAAAGAAAACAGTAAATTGAGTAACCTGCTATCATTTCATATGAGAAAACATTTCTTGTATCTTAATAAATTATCACTATCATAAAATAGAGAAATAAAAAAAGATATCTAGTGTTTCAATTTATGTTTTAATGTCACTGAATCAATTGTATATTGATCAAGTTCATAGTTGACATTGAAAGTATCCCTAAATACTTCATAATCTATTTCGTTCAAGATTAACTTTAGTAATGATTGGACTCAAAGAAATATTATTTAATGGAAGTAATTGTTCGCTTTGATATTTATGTCGAGTTCTTATGGTATTGAGATCAGCTTTCAAATACTGATTAAATCGATTATATTGCGTATTGATTTCGCTTCTAACAGTCTGTAGTTGTTCATCATTTTGTAATAATTTTTGCATGAGTTTCTTATTTGACTGAAGCATAAAAGAGACAAACAATCATGCAAGAATTTTTGTTTACATATCATTGAATTAATAATATATTAAATGTCAGAATGAAAATTCTCTACGATAATTATCGAAAAAACTGGTAACACCCAACTATCTACATATGTAAAGCATAGTTCATATATAATGTTCACTTGCATATTGATGGGTAGAATTCAATCAGATACTAAGGCCTACAAAAGCATGATACCGTAAAATTGTTAGTACAGTCAAGCATGTTAAATGTGATTTGTAGGGCTCTGATAACAACAAGCATAGAAAAGTGTAGTATTCAAAGATAGAAATTTTTATTACGGCGAGAGTTTTCCCAATTATTTTCAAGCCATTTCTGTTTAGGTTTTATTTACAAGACTATTGGTATGACATAACACCAGGAAGAACTAGTTATGTTATGATGGACATTTTGAAACCAAGTTCAGCAACTAATAGGATTAATTGTTTAGTTATTATAAACCAAAACTCTGTTAATTATCAACATGGCGAAAACATAGACCTTTCCAATTAGGAATTATCATATTAAAACTAATAAATTTACTGTTTAAAGAAGATAGGTACTGAGTTCGTGACGCATTGCAAACATCAACAGTGAGATCCGATTGTATTCAGTCAACAGGTTTCAAATACGCCAGCCATAACAAATGATGATGATTCTGTTAATAACAACGTTTCAGGGATATCATGAAATTATTAATTGTTTACAGGAAGAACTTTCATTCAGTGAAGGATCGTGGGACATTTGTTTTCACGCTCCTTCGGTTATTGAGAATATGTCTGTTTTTCATACTACATGTATTTTAAAATAATAATATGACTAACCTAATGTAGAAAGTTAAGATTGATTCAATTCCAAGAGATTTCGAATTTAAATAAATTTAGCAAGATAGTTTATCGTTTCTAGGTTACGTTATCTGAGAAATGCAGCTTTAAACAAACATTCCCTCAACTTTGTGAAATCAGATAGTATTATAAATGAATGCTTGGTGGTTGTTACAATAACAACAAAACAGAACATCGCTAAAATTAACAACAGAATAACGCATATATCCAACATGAAATGTACACAATTATCTGATCAATTAGTTTTTGCGAAAATTTAGTAACAAGATTGTAAGAAATAAGCTTACAGAAGGCTATTGTTGCCTGTTCCTTAGTGAACTATTACATTCTCGTTTGTCTATAATTTCAATGTCATTCACAATCAGAATGTTTACCATATACTGTCAACCGATAACATATAACTGAGAATTTTAGATTAATCTACCTAACTCGGTCAATAACACTAACGTCTTCGAAAAAAGAAAATTACTTCTCTCGAAGGTTGTTTAACGAGTAAAATAATATAGTGTTAAAGAGAATATATGTAAAACATAAAGTCAACAGTCAGTATCTTATTTTATCGATTAGTTTTCATATGAAAGACTTAATTCCATGGGGAAAAAGCAATTGTGTTGTTGATAAATGATTATCTAGTTTACAGTAATTCTTCATATAATCTAATTAAAATATTCCTTTACCTATCCAAAAGTAATCAATGTAGTTTGAATCTAATGAATCTGTTTAAAATTGATCAATATTTGAATGGTCAACTGAAAAGTCAAGAACAATGACTCATTCAGTTTTCCATTTATGTTTTAATTGTTTTGGATCGCAATGGTCTCTCTTTTTAAATAAAGGCTGATGATCATACTTTTGACAAAATATATGTAAGCATCATTTACATCTATTTTTTATTTCATTTCTGACTTAGTTTGTATATATTATTGTTTACTAGAACATATGGTAAAAGTGATGGAGGAATTTTACTGTCTACTTTAAATAATGTTTTAGTAAATTTTGTTTTCGTTAGACATTTTAGCTTTAAATCGACCACACCCTTTTGCTTGCTTGATAGTTAAAATACACTTTTGAAGTATTATTAATTGAAATTTATAATCAACTTAATGGTTAAAAAATAGATAGGCTTTCCATCTCTTTTATTTATACCATATTCAAGTTGCACAAATAAATGTGCATAACACATTGAATTTTCAGTAAAGACGTTAATTGCATAAATTATCAATTGTACGATTTACTTGGAACTGATCATTCACTGCTCAGTAAAGAATGTCAGCGATCAAGCTTTATTATTATTTACTTTTAAACAGGCAGCTTTATATGTAACAGGATAACTATTTATGAAAATTATGAAATTAACTGTTATCTTGTTTTTTGGGGCAGTTTTGGAGGTTTGTGTTTTTACACATTTGAAATCATCAATCAATCATTGTTAGACAACCATTAGAAACCTGGAAGTACTGGGCGGCTGTTTTGTCCTGGTATGGGACTCATCAGCTGTGCGCATCCATGAATCCTGCTCCTCGCAAGAAGAATTTCTATGGAATATGATGAACAATGCAAGAAAATATAACAGGAAGTAATTGAGTATGAAAAATGTTCATCTAATTCCTATTAATCTAGTAATGAAAAGAAAAAATTAATATTCATCTTTATGAATTTATTGTTTCAAGTCTTACATATATGAATTCAAATGAATTTCATGATTTGTCGACTCATTATTCATGAAATTCGGATATAATATCAAAGATTTCTGGGAGTTCTTAAAGGTTAATGATTTATGTGTTAATGCTCTTACTTCATCAGTTTCAAGTGTGAGAACATACATGAAAGATTTTCTGAATTATAAAGATTTTTCTAGAACAGTAAATTAAATGCAATAGAGATTCTTTTCTATTTTCATATATCGTGTTTTGGAGAGTAAATGCCTCAACACCCTATTCTCAGCCATAAAAACTGATCTGGTTAAAAGTATATATATATATATATATATATATATATATATATATATATATATATATATATATATTTTAAATGAAATTATGGAAATTACCTTGTTTGATGCCTTACTCATAATCTTATTCATCATTTTTAAATTTTGATTATGCGCCATTTTATGCTTCAAACTGGAAAGAAACAATCGGTGCTGAAATAAAAACAATAAACACTCACTAGAAGAATGTATTATGATCAAATCAATATATAAGTTATTAATTAATTCGATAATTAGTTATGTGCTTTAAGTTGGCTAACAACTAGAGCCGTATTGTGACAAAACTTCAAGTTTGTTTACGAAATTTCACATCACTAATCATCAGGAGATTTATGAGAAAGTTTCTTTTGATATTCATTATTAAATATTCAACTCCAGAAAGAATATAACGTTTTTATTGAACGACAACTTTCATTTGTTATGCTAAATCAGTATTTTGTATTCAAATAAACTATTATTCGGTTATTGTTATGAGGAATTTAGAAGGTTATAATTAGAGAGAACACAAAGAGCGCCATTGCAAACGATTCTGATCCATGTCGTTCAAAGTCACCGATGGTTAGAGACCTTGAACGACATAGCTTGGAATCGTTTGCAATGGCGCAGGTGCATCCACTCTTTGTATCCTCTCTAATTCTAACCTTCTGAATTCCTCATCATCCCTACCTTCGTCTTTCTAAACTTATCTCATTGATTTATACTTCTTGAATAATATCTTCGAATCCCAATCTTCTACTATCACTATCACTCTTGAATTTGAAGTGAAAGTTGCGTCTGTGTGCTGATGTGGTATGGCAACCTGAACTGATGTACTTACGTACGAAGTTCTGCGTTATATCTGTCTGTCTGTCTTTTCTCGAATGGTGAAAATAATCTTATTTTACCGATCATTTGTTACCAGTTATACACTTACCATTTGTTGTGTAAGAAATGTACATTCGTCAGTTAAAGCATAAAATACTGAATTTCTGGTACCATTTATAGCTTGTTGAATTTTTCCAAACATAATGGTTAAATCCAACTGTAATGTATTAACATGAGATAATGTCGAATCTATAATTTTCGAAATGTTTTCTAAACTCATTGATGTTGCATAATTTTCATTCCGTAATTCAGCTTGATGATCTATCTAAAAAGCAGTAGAAAAAAACATCATCATTTTATCCTACTGTTATTGATTCTAGGAGAGTTTCGTCACATTTATTGAAATGTTTTATATTTCGTTCATGTTCAGTTATCCATTGATCAAGTTTGCATTGAATACACTTTACATTCTAATAAATTATTGAACAGAAAAATATGATGATTGATTTAGCAATTTGAAATACTTTAAGTGCATTGAATAGTAGCTGTAGTTTCGATTCCAGTGAACATTTAAGATTTTTTAACAATTGACATTCAGCTTGTACAACTTGTTGAACAGTATCAACATTCTAATGATGAAGATTTAAGAAAAAAAACAGAAAAAAAGATTGTTATCAAGACAAAGTAAACAACATGATTACTTTAGACCCTCTTGAACTAACTCTTGCAGTTTCGGTTTGATTACTTCTTTTGATTTCCTGGCATATATCGAAAATCGATTTTTCCATACAACATTCATAACGTAGTAATGATTTGATAATATTTTGGTTTGATTGTTTTAAGCGTAACAACTTTCTGACAATGTATATAACACTCTGCTTATGCGCATATGTTGCATGCGTATTAGTGATGTTGATTGATTTAAATGAATGATTTATAAATTGATTACTGATCTTCATACATGTGTTCACTTGATCTGATAGAATGTTGATTCTATCAACAAGATGATTTACGGTATTTATGATAACCATGTTAGGTATGGTTGGTTTTATGTTGTCTTGATGTTGCATATTGGTTGACATTTCTGTTTATGTAGTTTCTGAAACGAAATATAAAGTAGTTGAGAATCTACATTTATTTTATACATTATCCTAAAAAAATATTTGCTATATCATAAAAATGAGTTTGCGAATAATAACTGGAGCAAATTCATCAGAACAGATTGAATTAATGGTTGTAGAGTAATCAGAGGTTCTTTTTTGCTTGAAGTAAGCATTGAAGAGGTAACCCAAAACGACAATGAATGCTTTTGAATCTATTAATCCAGCTCAGTGAACACAATACAACCGAAATCATCTACCTGACTTACAGAAGTGTTCATGCATTTCCATATAATACCACTAGTATTTTACCTACTTACAGTCAATAATGCACCATTACATACATTTTAACGGAAAACTTCAGTTAATTATATTTAATCGATTGAAATAATAACATTGGAACAACCTCATTTTTTATACAAGTTTATTCAAAAAAATATATATGTAAACATTAATTAGTAGACCTTTCTTTCATACATTAATTGCAATCAATTGTACATTAGTTATTTATTAATAATTATTTTAAAATCTACAAGTTAATTTAAATAAAAGAAACTAATAATCAAATAATCTAAAGAGCTGGGTCAAATAAATTTATAGAATTCATTAACAATGGCTATATCCACTAATAGTCTACCTACTTTATGTTGACGAATAAAGCTTACAAAAAACAATTTTTTTTTATACAGTGCTAACTTGCGGGTGCAGAAGTCGTGGATGCGCATTGCTGAGGAGTCCCATACCAGGACGAAACGGCCGTCCAGTGCTTCCAGGTTTCTAATGGTGGTCTAACATTGATCGATTCATGATTTCAAATAAACAGTACTAACTGACAATGCATTTGTGTGGTATGAACATTTTTGTTACAAAATAATTTTTTTCTTCATTATCAGTTTGAAAATTAACAATTGTATAGTTTTTGTAAAAACAATTGTGAAATAGTTGAAATTATTGTTGGATATATAGTATCAGATGCTAAGTCTGTTGAAAATGCGCCTATACAAGATTTTTGTTTTATCCACAGACCACCTTGTGTAAGCAGATTCAATGTTTGATGAAAAGTTCCCACTGATTAATAAGCGGATAGAGTAGGAGACAATCAAACAAACTTCATCACCGACTTCTCCACGTGTACAAATATTCAAAATTATTGACTTACGAATGAAAGTCGTATATAGTGTACACACTAACTAGTAGATTTCACATTGTTTAGAAACACACTTGAAATCATCAATCAATCATTGTTAGACAACCATTAGAAACTTGGAAGCACTGGACTGCCGTTTTGTGCGCAGTGCGCATCCACGAATCCTGCGCCTCGCCGGACTCAAACCCGGGACCTTCGGTGTTGTGCACGAAAGCCTAGCCTCTGGACCACTGGGCCGGTGTCCAACGGTGTTAATTTTTAACTCTGATTGATCTAGGGATTTTGTGCGACGTCACCCATTTGTCTTTGGTAGTTACTGCCTACACTCAACAGGGTGTTAAGAAAGCTATTTCCTTACAAAAATTAGTAAAACTTTATATCTGTACTTAGAAGTAATGACACTTAAACACGAATTCCCGCAATCCTCTTTCAGTATCTCGATGTAAAATCACTAGTTTCAGGAAACATAAAATAGTCCAAAATCTTTTTTTCCTTGTCCGGTTAATGAACTACAGGGTGTATTGAATACGTATGGTCAAGTAAAATTATTAATTTCAAAATAAAATTAATGTACGTTGCTCAAATGAAACATTTTTCTTGTTTATTTGATGGGCATTAGTAATAAAAGAGGGGAGTCAGTCAGAAATGTTAGTAATAAATGCAGTTAAATAATCCTATAGAACGTTTTAGCTGTTTTTCATGTTTTTATTATTATTACAGAAATAACTGAGCCTTTACACCAATTCTATATCAGATACGTTGATCAAGAAAGCTTCTATTCCCATATATTATTGTATTTTAAATACTGAACATCAAACTGAAGACTATTCATAACAAGACAATTTTTGATGTTGTTGACATAAGGTGGTGAATCCGCCTAATTTCGGATTATATAGTTTGATTTGTCGGCTTATCTCTTTATCAATAAAATTTTCCCATATTTTCTTCTAATTCAAAGTGTTCTCTTGTACTGACTGACATTTAGTTAAAAATGTTGAAAATCTGTTGATGAAATTAATAATTTAAGAGACTGATCTACTTCGTGAACTTGTTATCATTGTCCTCTATTTTTCTAGTGATAACCGAGTTGAAATTGCTTTTGATCTTTAGTTAAACTTATGTTGGGTTTTTTTCCAAGATTATAGAGTGGATAATAAGCTTCGACTGTTTTGTTCATGGTTTAATAATAAATCATAAAGTACATGATAAGGCGATTAATAATCAGAATTTACGTTTATGGTATACACACTGAATTTGAGTTAAGTGAATGGATAATAGCAGGGTACGTATTTCAAACATATGTTTTGTACTATTTATTACTAACTGTTGGTTTCGAAAATAATTGTATTTTTCTATTTGCTTATGTCTGATCGTATTCGAATTTAGTGCACGAATGTACAAATTACGGGAAGCCTAGGACAGAGTAGGTTAGAGAATACAGGTCGTTGGCCTATACTCCATTGGGGGTAACAGGAGTAAGTAAGTAAGTAAGTAATGTGCAAATTTCAGATGTATATGAAGTATACGTACACAAATATAGAAATAAATTTATTCATTTATGCGGCTGAAATATTTTATTCAGCTAGTTAAAATGATGATGAACTTGGTTATTTTCTTATTTCAGTTACCTAATTTAATTAATAATAGTATTTCTGGAAAACTATAATTATTTTGATAAATGATATCGTTTGAAGAATAATAAACTTATGGTTTGCAACAGTTATTCACAATTAGGTAAGTGATCCATAGCAAAACTTGCAATTAATAAATGATGACATAGTAATGAGAATATGGTATATCAACAAAAGAAAACCAGTACGATTTTAGCACTGTTAGCGAATAAATACAATAATTTGAACAAGCGAAAATGTAAGAAAAAATATTTACCCAATCTAGATGGATTGTTCACATTTAAATATGTAGTCTTTAAGTCAGTAGTTTTGATCAAGGAAGTAAAACCGTAAAATTAACGAGAGACAATCAAGTTGATTAATCGCTTAAAGTGTCTTGTTTTACAGCATTCATAGGTCGCATCAAATGTACAAATGATTGAACAAGAAACTACAGATTTAGTTTGAGATCTAAATGTCAAAACCTTAAAAAATATTAGCGTAAACGAAGTAATATTTATAATATTAGATATTGAAACTAGTCAATAATCAATAAAATAAATAAATACTTGAAATCGGATTTAGAAACATAACAGATTACGTCTTCCACACTTGATGCTGATTACAGTCGATAGTTCGTCTCAAAAGTTTCCTTCCTATCTAGCGATAGTTTATATGATTTCCAATGAACTTTAACTCAATAGTTAATTTAAAAAAGCATTAAAATCCACAATAATAAATTCACCGTTATTAAGTGAAATAAGATTCTATTTCTGATATATATATATATATATATATATATATATATATAATAGTACCCAGCATTATTATTTCATCCTGAGGGCAAAGTGTCACCTCACATCATTTTATTCACGTGATAACCGAATAGTGAGGCCATTGAAATTGTATACTATTGAATCGTATTGCAAAAGATATATATATATATTCGTAAAAAGAGAGTGTAAGTATTGATTATTTCTACTAATTAGATGATATTTTATGATCGGTTTTATAAATATTTCCGAAATGTTAATTAAATATCGTACAGGTATAGAAATATACGTATTAAAAAGGTATCTTTTCTAAATGAATCATTTTAAGACTGGGTGTTTTTTACAGAGATTTATTGATTATCTACGTCTAAACTGGTATTTGATAACATAATTTCATTATTCTCAAACGATCCAGACTTTCCTATATTTTATAGCTGTGACAGTACGAACAGTGCTGAAGTTATTACGATTTCGATTTTATAAAACGGTGACATTGGATCCGATTCGCTTTCTAATGGAACCTTTTCTAACTACCATACTTGATTCAATCATAAGCACTCCTAACATTATACTTAAAAGGCTTATAAACAAATCTAAAAACATGGAATCAGTTCATTTTAATGATTGATTACAAAGTTTTTATAAAATTAAAATTTATCATAATACTACATAGGCACCTATCGGTATATTTTTACAATTTATAAATTACATACATCACTCAAGAAACTCAAGTCAGTAAAACAGTCAAGATATCTTAAAACCAGTCTGCAAAAAACATTTCTACAATTGAACTGAGAAATGAAAACATCAGTAAAGCTGTATACATTGTTTGTAATTAAATCATCACCATATTTAATAGAGCTAGTGAATAAGATGCGAACGTATAACTATTTACTGACATCTGATGGCAAACTTCTGAGCTATCATTCAATTGAAATAATGTCGTTGATGTTTTTGCTACAGCTCTAGCCACTTGTACTACAGTACATTACCATTTTTATCGAAGGAAAATCCTCATAAAATATGAAAAAAACTTTATGATGTGTAAATAACAAACAAGGAATTAAAAACATTTATCAAACACCTTATTTTCTCAGCTTTTCAGATATACTTGAATTATACGATGTCTGGTGAGCGGTTCGATTTAGGCGTGCTAACTAATTTTTGGTAAACTAATTGCAGTTTTCCAATACACTGTCGGCAGTTTCAATGATATCGTCAAAAAATATCACAGAAATGTTTTGGGAAATTATTCATATTTTTATGAGAAATTTGACACAAACTCATTCGATAAACCAGAGGTCTTCTGTATATAGGATTAATAAATTCAATGCAGACACAAACTTATCTATATCATTCGTTATACTGTGGTGTTAGTATACGAGGTTCGTTGCATTCCATTGTAACAGTAACATTAATGTGGTTATTAATCACAATAGATGTAAGATATTCTGCTAAACTTCAAATCCTACTCAAACTATGTCCATAAATCACTTTAGAATTACTCACTTGAGGTCTGTAAAGCCTCTGTGATCGAAGCTAAAATCTCAACCACGTTAATTTTATAGATCTTCATAGAGTCTCATGTAAAGTGGATTAAAAATCATGATATATATATATATATATATATATATATATATATATATATATAATGAAGTCTACATCCTTTTATTTAAATCATTTTTGACTTCAGTAATGAATGTTATTAATTTATACAAAGGCAGAACTTGAACCTGACAGTGAGAAAACTTGTCACGTAGCTAAGATAAACTTTGCTGGAACAATCTGACGTTAGCCCTATCACGGATAACTACCTTCAAATGATTTTTATGCAAACTACGTTTCTGTCGATGCATTGCAGTCGTTTTACAGAGAATGCAATACTTGAGCATAAACAGGTTATATCAATTTTCAGACGAAAATAAGGGTACTTATTGAGACAGTCATTGTATCACTATGATAGTTAGTCATATCTGCATTTTTAGAGTGTAGTAGTCTCTTTCTGTTTCCATAGACTTCCGTTCTATTTGACCACACAATACTTGTCGCACAAAAACTTCTGATTCACTTGGCTCCAGGTGGAGCAGCATCAAAAACCACTCATCGAGATTTATAAAATCATTAGTTTCACACAAAGATCGAAGCCGGAAAGCCAGCTGATGGAAACTACGAAAAGAGATTTGAAACAGATAGAGTCCCATAAAATCAATTTTCCACGAAAGTAAGCAATTAATCATTTAAAACGTTCAAGCGTATCCAAAGCAAAACTACCTAAATATTAGCTTAAAACTGTATTTAAGACATCAGGCTTTTTGGATGATTGATAGCATCGAACTTATATGTTATGATTAGTTTTCTTTGACTGAATAAATAAAAATCATACCCTGATACATCGATTTTAGTGGTCCTTCAGAATCTCAGTACTTGACCATATATATATATATAGCGACTGGGATCTGATTATATGCTCGTACCGGATCAATCTTAGAGTAGATAGTCGTGCCCTTAATAAATGCCGTGATGTCGTGTATATGGGGGATGGGACAGCTATCGAAACGTGTTACTTCATTTAGTGCTCGGTAGTCGCCACATGGTCGCCAACTTATCCCATCCTTATCGCAAACGATGTGGATTTGTGAGAACCAAGGACTATGAGAAGGACGAACAATACCAGTAGCTAGTAAATTGTCAAACTGACGTTTAGCGAAAGCTAATTTGTCCGTTGCAAATCGGCGAGGTGTTGTCGTAATTGGTGGTCCACGGGAGACAATGTGGTGTACCACATGACGAATTACCGATGGAATCTCCTCTAGTGGTTTAGTTAGCTGAGGGAATCTTGTGAATAAAGCGTGGAAAATGTCGTCACGTGAATGAAAAACACCTGTAATACGGTAAGCTCCTGTTTGAGCTCGAAAGCCCATAAATTTACTGTTCGACGAAGTATCGATTATCTGCAGACTACGTGAATGGACTGGCAATTAGTAGTGCTGTAGAAAATCGATATCAAGTATAGCTGTGGGAATATCGGGAATGATGAACGTCCACAGATACTGTTGTCGGTCGTTCATGTTGACTGTTAGCTGTCGTGTACCATAGGTAGGAATGACAGAGCCATTCTCGGCGCGCTGTCAAAGCATCGAAAGTTGAGACTTGCTGCAACCAAGTGTTACGACAGAAACTTGGGCACCTGTGTCGACGAGGTACCTAGCGTTAGTGCGGATATCGTGCACGTGAAATTGGCGGCGCTTCTGAAGTAAGGGGCCGACGAGTACTGCCGCGTTTACTAGTCGGTCTTGAAGTTTCCGCCTTGCATGAGCAGGGGGCTCGACAGTGACGGGCGCCAGACCAAAAAGTCTAGTGGAACCAGCACCAACCGGTACTCGCTTCCGAAGCCGCATTTTGGCGTAGCTTAGAAGATGCCCGTTAAGGGCGAGGACTAGCAGCCTTTCGTGATCGAGAACGGGCTCGGGGGATGTTGGGTTCTGGAATACACGAGCGGTCTCGATATTTGAGACGGCTATGAATGTGGCAACCACAATCTCCTTGAGCCTCAAGGTGACCAGCATCGGGGTCTATATTTGTTTGTGACCTGGAGGGAACTATGTAGTTGTGACTAGTGCGCGCTACAATCTTTTCTGCTATGAGGGCAGCATGGTTTAGCGGTGCGTCCTCGAGCAGAGCCGTGATCGTAGCTGCACGTGGGCTGCTAGTGACTCGAGCAACAGTTCCCTGAATATGTCCGAGTCGGCTGCCGTAGGTCCTGACAAGGATTGCAGGTGCGTGAGGTCGCGGCTGGGTTTAGCACCACCCAGGGGGTGACGCGCTAACAATGTCCTCAATCGTTCCTCCCTCGACGGGAGGTAACGTCTGAAAATCGCTTGTTTGGGGCGATCGTAGATATCTAGCACAGTAGAATTGAGGACAACCTCACGAACAGCTGCCACATGGTCCCCGGGAGAGACTAGAGGGCGTAGGAAAATATTCGCCGCCGGCTACAGATGCGGCGGATCCGAAATTGAGATCCCATAGCCACGTACCACACCTGTGGGTCATGGGGAATGAAAGCGACAGGTCGAAAATTAAGTACCTGTATCTGGGAGTCTGAAAGGTTATCGTTATTTTTGGATCTATCCACCATTTTAAAACGCTGTTGTAGATATAATATATGTATTAGAAAGTATCCATATATATTATACAACAGTTCAAATAGTAGGAATTATCGATAGAGAAAGGACTGACCCACCGTAGTTGACACGTGTCCGTTGTGGTCGCTCAACAATTAAAGTGAGATTGAAACTACTATTCGCGAGATTGCCAAGTAAAATCCCGTCAGATACAGGAATCAAAAAGAAGACTATAACTGAATGAAGAGGTGTAATGACTCGTAGTAGTCTCGTGATATCGAAATAATATCAAGACCGGAATAAAGATGAAGCAAACAACCACCGAGGAGAAACGCGGGATGGGAGTAACACGCTTGGTGCGCGAGTTATAGTCTTTAGTACAGTTAAACAAAAAGGAGTACAATAGAACAATTATTGTTAGAATTAAGTACAATCATAAATGTTTCAATTTCTGCAATTGTGTTATCTTCGTAAAAGTATACCACTACAAAAACATACATACGGATTATCATTTTCCTCTTGAACCAGCTGTACCAGATGAATATCTCAAAACTTGCTAGTAATCGTTACTGAAATTTCTTCAGTTCACTCACTCAATTGTTTTTTATCTCTGATTCCTTTCCCTCCCTAACACTTCTGCTCTTTCTGGCTACCCTCACTACCAGTTAATTAACTTATTTGTTCACTTAATTGGTTAGTTTTGACGTCTTCTCACCAGCGCTTAACTTTTCTCCTTATTGTTTATGATACTGCAACTAATTGGTCTTTGGCCTGGTTACTTGATAGCTGCTGGCATCCAGAAACCTTTCTGTCCTGAAACGAACGTACCCAATCAACTCACGTTACATAGAAAATTAAAATAACTGTCAACCAACTAGAATTAGGGAAGTCGAATGGCTAGACAACAATCTGCTGGAATTTACTAAGTGCCTGGAACCATACCGAAAGAACGAGAACCAAACTCAAAGAAATCGATTGGTTCATATTACCTCGTGCTAAAAGATATTGGACATTGGACCAGCGCTTGGCTTACTAGCATCGGAACTTTCTCATTCAATGGATTATTATTTGGCTTAATTGAGGGTTATTCCAAGTAACATCAGATGTAATGAGAGAGCTGCTTTGGTTTTTGCTCGTGTGCGCTTCACTGAATGCCAGTGTGTTCGCGGTTTTGCTTGTTGTATGTAATGGTGTATTGTATTCAATTGTTTCAGAGAAACCTCTCATCGAGAACTTCTGTTGAAGAATTTAAGGATTCGGAAGCAAATTTTGGAAAATCAATCCCTTATGGGTCATTGATACTGGTGAGTCTGAGTGTGCTAGTTAATATTTATAGGGACGAATTCACGCATCCCAACCAATAGATGGCTGTGAAGACTCTATCCCGTTACCTACAAATGCTTCCGATTCAACTCTCCCTTACATCTCACTTATTAAACGTGGCAATTGTTCTTTTGCAGCTAAGGCTCTGGCTGCTGAAAAGGGTGGATATATTGCGGCTGTTATTTTTAATGATGTGGACGATAGTATTTTCCCAATGGACGGCAATTCGTGTAAGGTTTTCCAAATCTTATTCATTCGTTTTTAGCTACAGTTGTCACTATTCCTGCTGTCATGGTGGGTTTGTCTGATGGTGAGCTGTTGCTAACTAAGTACTGTAAGCCATAGTAAGTTGTAAGTCAATTTTATAAGTTCGAATGCAGTTACATATTTCATGAATTTATATGCAAGTGTTTTGTAGTCAATTGAATGATTAAACTTGTTTCTTCATCAGAACGCGTTTACTTAGTCTTCGCTCTTAGTTCTTCCCTTCTGGTATTCACTTATCTAACAATCAGGGAACTATTTCTCATACAGGGGAATGTAGTCTACAGTTTCTTATTCTGCCAAAGTAATCTGTCAGATCTGTATGTCATTCCAGAAGTTTTCCGAGGATTATTAGACCGTCAGTGTTCGTGGTGAAATTTTTATACTTGAACTTTACGCCACAAATAGTGCAAAAATACTTAAGTTATAACTATCCCTAGGGTTTTCCATACGTATTTCCAGTGATATAGTTATCTAATAGTTCTGTCGCTTAGGAGTAAAAAAAACCGTTTAAAGTGACTTTTAGTACCTGCTATGTAACAGCCTTACCTACATGTCGGAACTTTTTAATGTTCAAACCAGCCATAAAGAGCGAAAGGTTTTCCTAACTAAGACTAGAATCTATCGCCATTGATGTATGTTGCGCTTCACGAACGCACATATAAGATCCAAATGGTCGTTCACTTCACCTCATCCTGTTAATGTCAAGAACCGTCTCGATATACCCCATTTGTATCTGGAGTCCCTGCGGCTACTTCTTGTAGCCTCGCGAGTGTAAGCATAGCATTAATTTTAAAAGCAGAAATAGCCCTAGATATCAATAGACAATCGCTTGTGCGCTGTCCGTCTAAGTGGGACAGTAAGAACTCACTAAGATAAAAACACACCACTGCCACTTCGTTGTCCCTAACTACATTCCCCTTAGACTGCATTTCAGATAATGTAAAAGATTATTCGTACGGGGAGATTTTCAACTTTCAAGAGCTAAACACTAATGTAGTAATGGTGGTTAGTGATTTTAGTGATCAAGCATGTGGACTAGACGAATCTGAAAGGCTCAGCGAACGGATAATGACAACCGTATGATGCAACTATACTCAGATAACCGTCTGTTTATGACAAGAGCCAACTTTAAGCATAAGAAAAAACATTTTTTGACATGGGCATCCCCACAGTTGATTGAACAACTTCGCCACCGCCTATTGAACATAAACAAGCCACGATAAATTTATATAAGTCCTCCAACCTTTAATGAAAAGGCTATTGAGAATCTAAAGTGCGGGACAGCATCAGGGCCCGATGGACTGATCCCTGAGATTTTAAGAATAACAGTCGATTTTCAACAATTAGATTAACTGAGACCTTGGTTAGGATCTGTAAACTGAACGTAAACCCATCTCAATGGGATTAATCGTTGTCCATCTCAGTCTATAAGGAATGGCATAAGTCCTCCTATGACTACTGCAGTATGGTGTCTTAAATATTGGCTACAACAATACTTTGACGCCTAACTATAGCTTGCGAAGATGAAATGCAAGAAAGTCGATCTGGTTTCAGACTGGGACCTAGATGTATAGACCAAATATTCTCATCAGTTCTGATGGCTTTCGAAATCTCAACACGGATTTAGAGAGTTCTGTTGGTTTTCGCCAACTTGTGTGAGATATGCGTCTACCAAGCAAAGAATGATTTTACTGCGCAAAAGTTTGCTCTGCTCTGTTTATGGGAATGAAACATGGCCATTAAGAATAGGGGGTATTCGTAAGTTGCTTGCACTCGTTCATGAATGTTTTCGAGGTAGTTTTCGTGTATTTTTGAACCACCAAGTAATTAGTGCCTGGCTTAAGAATTTGGCAGTAGGTAACGATGGAAAATTGGTTTGTGATATGGATGTGTACCGATGTGTGCCCGATCACCTACTTCGCCGAGCAATGTTTCTTGTTGCAGTGAGCCAGGAAAAAGCTACAGGAAGCCAAAGACATGACACCAGTTCACAAAACCATCGACAATTGGACTGAGCCATGTTAGTAAGTGTAAAATTTCTGGTTGGGATGCACGTAATGATCGTAACCAGAGGTTAGAAACTTAGAACGACATGGCTGTGAAGGTGAATTCATTCTCCGATCAATTGCGACCTAACTGTTAGGTCTAATATTTGAGCATCATATCAGTTATATATCGTCCCTCTATCGTGAAAGATACAATGCTTATCCTAATTAGTATTATAGTCACCTTAGCAACATGTGGTTAGATCCTTCTGAATCTCTATAGTTAAACTTATTGGTTGGAAGTTAATGCATATACTGGGTGCTCAGGGATTTTCTCGATAGAACTCCAAACTGCAGGCTCTATAGAAAAAAACTACAATCCCAATCCAGTTTTTTCGGGTATCAGGAAACAAATGATTCAAGCAAAGTAGAGTGGTCTATGAAGCATTATTTGGTTTGTCACATTGTCTAGCCGGTGGTCAGATTCATCACGGAGTACCACTAAACTTTGTCTCTACTGACAAAAACAACTGTTCGTTCCTCATCTGTCAGCTGAAAGGCCCTGTGTTCGAACCTCTCTACGTTCAATTGGAATAGAAAATTCAAGTGTTATCACTAGTACTTAGTTAGAATGAGTATCAAGACCAAGTACATGGATCTGTATCTTGTTAATCAGTTTCATGTCCTGAAGAAAGTTAACTGATCGAAATCGTAAGCTATTTGATGTGATGCAAATAAACTTAGAATATTAATCTGACGCTACTGTTGAAAACATTTGTTAGGACGGCAAACTTATTACAGACTAGCGTTCGTGAACGATTTCTGAGTTTTTATAGTTTTCCTCGTGTCTGTTGCACCTACGTTTTGCTTCCGTCTATTTTTTTGGTGCTATCTCTTACTCAGGTTATTCTCGTCCTTATTTGTTTCAAGTTAACCATATTGATTGAAGAGTATGGATCTAAAAAATATAAAACCATGTGTAGTAGAAAAGTCCTATGTTCGACATTCAATAGGGAGAAATTACCGATAGATGAATCGAGTAACTGAGATTCTATGGAAGTCCTAAAGATGTCATAGAATACACTTGGTCCTACTTGTCACTCGTCTTTTTATCTACACGTTCAATAACCTAATCATTTATGGTTACAAAAATTAAAGGTTGACTCCTAAGTTAGTGTTGTGCTATCTGCTGGTGTTGGCAAGTGGACTAAAAATATTAAACAATTAAATTGGATGGTTTGATAACAATGCTGTTTTACGTAAATTTACTAGTTTGATAATCGCAAAAGCTCTAGTCTAATCGTTCCAGTATGTTTGACGAATTGGAATCCGCCACATTAATAGTACAAAATTTGACTATCATAGAAGTTGTTGAAATTGTTTCAGCAAAACTTTTCCCGTCTCAGAATCCATCCATCGTTATGAGCACGCCATGTAAATCAAAGTTTAGACAAATAAAACTTTATTTGTGTATCTATGTTATCAACACTCAACTGTGGTTGTTGTTAAATAGTTTAAGTAAATGAGTCGTATCAATAAGTAATACGTATATTAATTTCACTTACTGTTTACTTTTATTTCTGTAAATTACAGCCAAAAACGTTGACCGTTTTCCCTATATATATATATCCCAAGTATCAACTTATTCTTTTTTAAATGTTTGAGGATTTAGACTGATTTTGACTTTTATTGTTTGTACTTTGCTGTCTTATTTTCTACGGAATAGATTTAGGAGCTTATAGTTCGTATTTTTTTCATATATTTGTAGTTATTTTATTGAAATCTTACCTACTCATCGCCCAACTATTATGTTGTATCTTATTCCACTCATAACATGTCTGGTGATATCTGTAGTCGCAGTGAGTGTGGCATTTGGGGTGCGGTTATGGAATCGATACCGAAGACGACACCGATATTGCTTAGCAGTTAAAGAGTTACTCAAAATACCTGAAACTGTGTTCACTAAAGGTAAGTTGTTTTGTCAATGATTGTATATATGAAAAGCGACCGAGTTATGTTATTTTGTAACGGAGTGATGTAGTTCACGATCGACTACGTCCGGTTTTTTATTTTTTTAAATAATGGTAGTCCCAAAAAACGAATTAACTAAGTAGAAGTAACATTCAAATAAATATCACAATATACGTTGATCAGGAGTTACGGAAATATGTGCTGTTTTAGGGTTGGGTTGAGTTCGAGGGATAGACGTCGATATCAAAACTAGATTGATCATTTCCTTAGTCATGGGCATAGTTAAAAAAGAGATTCCGTCTTTTCAGAACATACAATCTCATAAGATTCTAATTGGTAGTTATTGGTGTATAGAGACTATAAAGCTAAGATTAAAAACGCTTGTGTATTTTTCAAGTAATCCAATGTTAAAACAAAATCATCTACATAATTTTCATTTGTAATAATAATTTGTAGGTATAAATGATTACAAATATTGCAGAATTCTTCACTTTTCAAAGATAGGACTGTTTCTTAGAGTTGTTATGTAGAATCCCTAATCATAGGGACTTCTATTATTGCTTGTTTTTATTCAATCTGGCATTAATCAGTATACAATATTCAACCTTCTGCTATAATATTTAGTTAGCTAAAAGTTGTCATGTCGGGCTAAACGTTAATTAAAAGTTAACTTTGGAACGGTCCTATCTGAACTTTCTGTTTATGCCTATTCTGTACAATTTTTTGCAAAAACCTAAACTATTATATTTTTAAACTTCCCTACTTGTAAGCTCTCATTTGATGCATAAACTTTTGTTATGTGCTTCTACCTTTTCCAAGTTATTGTTGGTTTATTACGGACCTGCCTCTCAGTTCTCTTTGGCTTATGACGTGGTCATGTCCATATTGTAATTACCTAATTCTGTTGATCTGTGGTCAAGATTTTGCCCTACATTATTGAATGAGAGATTTATAGACTCAAACTGTATAGGTAGAGGTTGTCTGCTAGTTGACTCTCTCCATATTCTGGCCAATAATCATTAGGTTTTACTCTCTGAGCTGGTTGTTTTGATTGTGGAGCTTTCATTGTTCTTCTGAACAGCATCATCAGCACAAACTTCAGATAGAAGTGAAGCATTCGAATTTCTCCACGTTTGACCTGTAGCTTGTTCTGTTAACCTCGATCTTGATTGGTTGCTGTTGTCTTTTGATCTGTCGTTGTTTGCAACTTTGTTTTGATTGCACCCCCCCCCCTTTTGATCTGTTTCTTGATCCTATGATTTTTCTGATTGGTTTTCTCCACCATCTCAAAATTAGGTTTTACTTCTGGTCGTAATTTCACATTTAGCTTGCCATTAGTTAGCGGAAGATTATCGGTAGTAGATATTGTCTAGCCCCGACCGTAGCTGCTACCTTGACGTAGTGATGACCCAACCGAGCTATATTGCATGGAACATATGTTCCTGAAAGTTCTACCATGCCAGGCAGGTCAATTGGAGAACGATGAGACTAAGAGCAGCTACTCAAGGTCTGAGGGCGAAGTCGTACTGCTGACTGTAGAGGGGTGTGACAGCAGTAAGGTGTTTCATTCGGGCAACCAGCATCTGCAGCGATGCTGACTTCTCACAAGGAAGGAAGGGTTAGAAAAGGTCGACCCTAAAAATGTCACACCTCACCCTACCTCACGGATTTCCGTCTCCGGCGGTATGGGCTTCCCAATAAGTGCTTTAAAAAGAGCGAAGCTAGTACTCAAAAAACCTCACATAAAAAGACCGTGCGTGAGCGGCCTCAAGCAGTTGTCCTTTGGGCTCTGCAGTCACGCTCTCAGGTCGTTAGACCGACACTAACCAACCTTCCTTTTCAGGTCCCTCAAGAAACACCCTTCGACGGTGTGGGCAGCCGGGAAGTAGCATCCGCCCTCATACCTGTAACTGCACAGGAGACCGAATTGGTCAAAATCAAATCCTTCCTACACCCCTAACATCTCTCTTATCTCCACGACTAACTCTTCTCACATTCCTTTATCAAACTGCACCGCTAATACAAGTTCACGAGTTCACGAAACGTCATTCCTGGTCTTCTGAAACCTCGTTCTAAAATACATGTTGGAGCATTTATTGTACGGACGTATCAAATAGGACAACAGGCTTCGTTAGCTAGGACATTAGAATCTCGCTCAACCGATGTATGCTGCGTCTCGGAAACGCGCACACAGGATCCGAGTAGCGTCATTCACTTGACCTCACCATTTCAGGATGAAGAAGCAGCTCGATTTACCCTTTGTGTATCTGGAAGCCCTGATACTACCTCCCGGGCTCTCGCTGGTGTAGGTATAGTATTGAGTCGTAGGGCAGAACTAGCTCTCCTAGACTGGATCCCATTAGATAGTCGCTTGTGCGCTGTCCGACACTAACCAACCTTCCTTTTCAGGTTCCTTAAGGAACACCCTTCGACGGTGCGGTCAGCCGGGAATTGACAACCACCCTCATACCTGTAACAGCAAAAGAGACCGCATCGGTCAAAATCAAGCCTTTTCTAAACCTCTTAATAACTCTCTTATCTCCTCGACCAACCCTTCTCTCGATCGTTTATCACCTCACGCCACTGAAGCAAACAGTATGAGCTTACGAAACATTATTCCTGATCTCCTGAAACCCCGTACTAAATTACATATAGGAGCTTTTATTGTTCGGATCCTATGCCAAATAAGGCAACAGGCTTCATTGGCTAGAACTCTGGAATCCCGGGCGATCGATGTATGTTGCGTCTCCGAAACGCGCATACAAGATCCGAGTAAAGTCATCAATTTGACCTCACCTAGTACAGATAGAGACACAACAAGGTTTACGCTTCGTGTTTCTGGAAGCCCTGATGCCGTTTCTCGTGGCCTCGCCGGCGTAGGTATAGTATTAAGTCCTAGGGCAGGACTAGTTCGATCCAGTAGATAGTCGGTTCTGCGCTGTCCGACTAAACGGGACGGTACGTACTCGGAAGGATAGGGGAACTCGCCGTTGCCTCTTCGTCGTATCTGCCTACGCTCCCACTGACTGCAGTTCAGACGACATGAAAGATAAGTTTTATAGAAATCTCTCTAAACTTCTCCAAAATGTTAAGCGCCCTGATATAGTTATAATGGCTGGTGACTTTAATGCTCAAGTAGGTAGACTGCTCGAAAAGGAAGGACATCTGGGTGGATCTTATGGTGTCGCGGCTAATAGAAAAGATAATGGCAACCGTCTGTTGCAGCTATGCTCAGATAACCTCCTATTCCTAGCAAACACTAACTTTAAGCATAAGGAAAAACACCTTTTGACCTGACGACACCCAAAACCGACCCAACGATGGACCCAATCAGATCACATCGCTATAAGCCATCGGTGGAGAGGCCCTATTGAAGACTGCAGCTCATTCTGGAGCACTTGTTTAGACTCAGACCATGCTCTAGTGCGAGAGCGTATCTGTTTGTGCCTTACTGGACACAAGAAAAGTATGGCAAGGAAACCTGTTAGGGCTCTACTTAATGATAATAAAGCTAAGAATTTATTTAAATTACTAACAACTGGACCGAGTCATGTCCGTAGGTGTCGACTACCTGGTCGGGGTCCGCGTGATGATAGTAATCGATGGTTAGAGACCCTGAGTGACATGGCTCGAAACCGTTTGCAATGGTGCGGGTGCATTTATTTATTGTGCTCTTTGAAATTCTAACCTTCCGAATTCCCCATCATCTCTGTCTTTAACTTTCTAAATTTATCTCACTGAATTATACTTCTCGAACCATATCTTCGAACCCTAATATTCCCTATTACTACTAATACTTCTACGATTGCTACGACTATTGGATTTGAACTAACAGTTGTGTCTCTTTGCTGATGCGGTATAGCAGCCTGAACTTATTTACTCATGTACGAAGTTCTACGTTGTAACTGACTAACTGACTGACAGTTAATCAATGCTGAAACTAGATCAATACAACTACTCCCTTGTTTAATGGTTCGATCCTTTAGGCACAATCAACTATACAAGAAGATTCGATTATTTCCACGAACAGATCAAAGCATAAAATTGTTACCGTTTTGTTGTATCATGAGCAAAGTAACTTAACATTAGTTTGATCCAGCAACCATTGATTAACCTAACTATGCTGAAGTCCATTTATGTAGGATAACTTAAATTTCACACGATCAAATAAGTATGACCGATATAGACGTGAATTTCTTTCGATGAGGCGACCCTTCGCTTTTTTATTGACAGTGAATTATCTAAGTATTTTATTGTATACTCCATCTTGTAGTTTTGATACTTCTCCCATTTACCATTACTTTTCTAGATTCGAGTGAATTCGAAACTTGTGTAATTTGTTTAGAAGACTATGAGGATAACGATAAATTAAGAGTATTACCTTGTAAACATGGTAAGTGAATGATCTTTTAAATAAAAAGTTTACTTTCATACCCTCTTCTGAAAGCACGAGTTGTAATTTGGTCATGTTTTTACTTTGCAATTTTTATTATCATCCGTTATCATAAGTTATCGTAATAAACCTTTTTAAACTTAACTCAGTAGGCAATCTATTATTTCTCTTATCGGCAAATATTCTTCGTTCAAATATTTAAAAGTCTCCTTTGTAAAATACTCTTTTTCAATGTTCTCAATCAAATATATGTTTTAATTGTTCGTAACCCTAGTAGTTCGTTGATACTCTTGATTTTCCATGTATCCACAAACCCGACCGTAGTTTTCCGGTTTGCCTATCGTAGTGACTTAGTCGAGCTATATTGGCTGAAATATATGTTCCTATAAGTCTTACCATGTCAGGCATGTCGATTAGAAAGCAATAAGACTAAAAGCAGCAACGTAAGGTCTGAGGATGAAGTCATACTACTGAATGTAGAGAGGTGTGATAGCAGTAAGGTTTTTCTCTTGGACAGCCAGCAGCTTGAGCCATGTTGTCTTCTCATACCGAAAAGAAAGGATTAGGAAAAGTCAACCCTAAAAATGTCATACCTCACCTTACCCCACGGATTTCTGTCTCCAACGGTAAGGCCTTTTAAGAGTAGAGCTAACACGTTAAAAACGTCCCATAAAAGGCCGTGTGTGACCAGTCTCAGGCAGCTGTCTTTTGTGCTGTGCGGTCACGCTCCCAGGTCGCTAAGTCCAACTCCAACTCAAATCTCTTTTCAGGTTACTCAAGAAATATCTTTCCATAGTGTGGGCGACTGGGAAGTGACATCCACTCTCATACCCGTAACAGCACACAAGATAAACTTGGTCACAGTCAAATTCTTCCTACACCTCTTAATAACTCTCCACAACTAAACCTTCTCACATTACTTTATTACCTTGCACCACTGTTTAAAACATTTCGAGTACACGAGAGATTATTCCTGGTCTCCTGAAACCACATACTAAACATCTCGGAGCTTTTAATATCCGAAACCTGTGCCAAATAGCACTCTGGAATCCGGTGCCATGTATGTATTTTACGCCTCGGAAACATGCATACCGGAACTGAGTAGTGTATTCATTTGACCTCACCTCGTCGAAATAAAGAACCGTCTCTATTTACGCCTTGTGAATCTGGAAGCCTCACTGCCGCTTCTCATGGACTCTCTGGTGTAGGTATAGTATTGAGTTCTAAAGCAGAACTAGCTCTTCCAGACTGTATCTCAGTAGATAGTCGGATTTCAATAGCATCTACTGAACTGATAGACGCTCAGAAACTCATCCTGTCTGGCTCTGAACATGACAAATAGCGAAATCAGCTTAAACGGGCTGATAAGAAGCCTACGCAATGGTAGTCCAGTTGTAGCACTTACACTGACTGAGATCTTAGCTAGAATCAGGTAGCTGAACATAATCCTATCTGACTGGTCTCAATCTCTGGTCGTCCGAGTTTATAAAAATGGGCAAAGTCGTCTTGTGATAATTACAGAGGAATCAGTTAAGCTAATGTTGTCTAGAATGTTAGCTTTAACAATACCTCGAACCCTAACGAGAGCTCGTCAAGAGCAAACTAGGCTAGTTTCACACCTGGATGTGGATGTATAGACCAGCTTTTCACACTTCGTCAGGTCCTTCAACACAGACACACATTCAGACGTCCTACGATAGTTGTATTGCTGTAACTTAAGGCAACATTCGACTGTGTTGATCGTAGGTTTCTGTGGCAGTGTCTGTCATTGAAAACAGTACTAGGGAAGTCCATAAACGTTACATTCTCTCTACTGGAACACTACTGGTCGAGTAGGAGCTGACGATGAACTATCATCAGAACTGTCTACTTTAAGTGGAGTTCGTCAAGGTTGTCCACTCTCTCCATTCTTATTCAACGACCTGCTTTCAGAGATGACACCTTCACCCTCTGACTTTTCAGGTGTTGAATTTTTATCGGGACATTCACTCGTTGACTTACAATATGTTGATAATATAGTTCTGGTTGGTGAAGACGCTGAAAAAATGCAAACTCTACTAACCAGCTTAAGTAACGATGCAAGCACTTTTGTGATATGATTCTCTCCGGCAAAATGCCAAAAGTTGCCTCAGGATTGGTTTTCATCAGCACCTTAATAAGCGATAGGTAGTAAAGTAGTTGAGTGTGTTGACCTCCTCACTTGTCATGGGAGTCTCATCAGTTCTGATGGTATGGCGTCTGGTGAAATCTCAGTACTGATTCAGAAGGCTCGACTGGCTATTGCAAACTTGCATCACTTATGGAGTAGGTGAGATATCCGTCTGCTAACCAAAGGATGAGACTACTCAACTTCAGTTCGCTCCGTCCGACTATAGGGTGTGGAAAATGCTCGATAATGATAGAGACAGTCGGTCATCAGTTTCAATGTGGAACTTCGTGAGTACGTACATTAGTTCAGGTTGTCATACCACTTTAGCACAGAAACGCAATCGTCAGTTTAAATCTCATAGTTGCAGAGAAAGTATTAGAGGTGATAGAGATCAGGGTTCGAAGAAATTATTCAAGAATTATAACTCAGCGACATTAATTTGGAAAGAAAAAGATAGTGATAATGAGGAATTCAGAACATTAGAATTTTAGAGAACAAAGAGTGGATGCACCTGCAATAATAATAGAGAGTACTTGTAGGCTACTAGTATTCAATCATAGGTTTCTTCGAAGTATTGTTCGTATATTCTGGGACCACTGAGTAAGCAGTAGTGCTGTTATGAAATGGGTACTAGGTAATGATTGCAGATGGATTAATGAAGTATTGAAACTTCATCAGTTGAGGTGGTTACTTACTTATTTACGCTTGTTACCCCAAACCTACTCTGTCCTGGGCTTCTCTTCTCAGTTCTGTCCAATTTTTGTTCATTCTCATATCTTTCTTTATTACTCGGCGTAATGTGTTCTTTGGCCTTCCTCTTTTCCTTTGACCTTGATGGTTCCAACTGAGGGCTTGTCTTATGAGGCAGTTGGGTGCTTTTCTCAGTATGTGTCCTATCCCCTTCCACCGCTTCTTCCTGATTTCCTCCGCTGGAATCTGGTTTGTTCTCTCTCACAGTGAATTGTTGCTGATGGTATCTGTCCAACGAATCCGAAGTATTTTGCGTAGACAACTGTTGATGAATACTTTAATCTTCTGGATGATGGCTTTCGTGGTTCCCCAAGTTTCCCCTTCATAGTATTGTATCGAAAATTCTGATTTTGGTGTTTGTTGACATTCGTTTTCAGTTGCATGTGTTTTTCAATTGTGGAAATGCAGCCCTTGCTTTGCCGATCCACGCCCTCACATACGCGTTGGATCCACCCTGATTGTCAATGATGCTGCCCAGATATGTAAAGGCTTTTCCGTCCTCCAAGGCGTGTTCATCAAGAGTGATTTGGTTGGCGCATGTTGTGTTGTATCGTAGAATCTTGCTTTTCCCTTTATGTATGTTGAGATTTGCTGTTGCTGAAGCTGCTGCTACACTGGTCGTCTTCTCTTGCATTTGTTGCGTGTGCGATAGAAGGTCTAGATCATCTGTAAAGCCCAGATCGTCCAGCTACATCCTAGTTATCCACTGTACCTCATGCTTCCTTTCAGATGTTGATGTCTCCATAATCTAGTCGATCACCAGGAGAAGGTGAAAGGGTGAAAGTAAGAAACCTTGCCTGATACCGGTCTACACCTCGAATGAGTCTGTCAGCTATCCTCCATGCACAATTTTGCAGTTTAATCCATCATAAGAATTCCGTATGATGTTGACTATGTTCTCAGGCATGCAATAGTGTCGAAGAAGCCTCCATAGTGTTGTCCTGTGCGTGCTATTAAGTACTTTCTTGTAGTCAATGAAGTTGATGTAGAGTGGTGAGTTCCATTCAGTTGATTATTCCATAATGACCCGTAGTGTTGCGATCTGGTCGTTATACGATCGATCCTTACGAAATCCAGCCTGTTGATTTCGAAGTTGGACATCTACGAAGTCCTTCATTCTGTTTAACAACAAACTGTTGAAGAATTTGCCTATGGTTAAGAGAAGCGTAATGCATCTGTAGTTCTCACACTTGCTGAGATCGCCTTTCTTTGGTATTTTGATCAGGTATGCTTGTTTCCAATCTGATGGTACTTGTTCCTCATCCCAAATCTTCTTGAAGAGATTGAAATATATTCGCAGTTACTTCCACGTCTGCTTTCGTTACCTTTGCTGGAATGTTGTCTGTTCCTGCTGCTTTGCCGCTCTTGATTTGTCTGATGGCCATACTTATCTCTGCAATTGTTGGTGGGCCAACATTGATTGGGAGGTTCGTAGATTCTAGTTCGATGTTGGGTGGATTCAGTGGAGCTGGTCGATTCAAGAGTTCCTGAAAGTGTTCTACCTATCTGTTTCGCTTTTCTTTAATGTCGCTAATTACTTTGCCTTCCCTGCTTTTCACTGGTCGTTCTGGTTTACGGTAGTTCCCTGCGATCTTATTTGTTGTATCGTACGATTGTCTCAAGTTTCCTTCTCTTGCAGCTTTTTCCGCCGTCATTGCTAGTCTTCCACATATTTTCGTTTGTCAGCTCTGATGTTATTCTTCACTTGCTTGTTTGCTTCTGTCTATTCAGCATGTGTCTTAACTTTCTCTGCTCTTGTTCGGCTGATGTTGGTTGATGCCCTCTTGTTCCTCCTTTCTTCAATTTTTCCAAGAGTACCAACAAAGATACATTCTTTATGATGGTACTTCCTGTGGCCCAGAACCTGACATGAAGTGATTGCCTCCTTGATCCCATTCCAGTCGCTCTCCAAGGTTGTTTTCTCTCCATTGAGTATATCGTGCAAGTCCTGACTGATGGTTAGAGACCTTGAATGACGTGGCTGATAATCGTTTGTAGTGGCACAGGTGCATCCATTCTCTGTCTTCTCTCATGAGCTCAGGAGCTCTTCTTATTCCTTTTGGGTTTTTCCTCTTGAATCATATCTTCTAACCCTAATCTTTTCGATTGCCGCTAATGCCACTACTACCTTTACCGCTATGGGCATTGGACTAATAATTCTATCTCTGTGCTAATGTAGTGTGTCAGTTTGAATTGATGTATGTACGGACGAAGTACCTGATACTTAGCAATATTATTTAATCGTATTTGCTGAAATGCTGTGTCGACTATTGAATATCTGCGGACATTTCACCCATATATACAGGAATACATCAAAAACCTAACTTTTGTTTATACAACCTCTAAATTTACTTTGGGACTTGTTCTTAGTTCTTATTACATGTTCCAAAACTTTCCCCTTGCTTTAAACTTTTCTGAACTTCAATTTTGTTGCACTTTAAATCTCTGCAATCTTTATCCTAGGTAAATTTATACGTAATAATGTCATCTTATTTCCACTGCGTCTATTCGACTAGTTACTTATCACTAAGTTCGTGGTTAACAAACCATTTCTCTTCACATTTGATTGTGATTCTACTTTAATGTAACGGTTCGTATTCATGAACTGATTATGAAAGTTCATCCAAGTTCTAATTTTAATCGTACAAACGTTATACAACTAATTGATTATAATATTGTTTAATTGATTCACCACATGTCAAATTTCTGAAACACATATTAACATAAAACCTTGATGAAGAACTGACTGAAATAAAACATTTCTTCGCTCAACTTGTCTTTTTATTAACCCATATTTTAAATAGTGAAAAAAGTGGATCTTTCTGTTGTTATGGTTTTGTCTACTTAATGGACGTAAATTTTATTACAACTAGGAACCAGACAGAAGATTACGCCACAAAAATAAATTGATCACATTAGTAGGAAATGGAGAGAAGTCACTATAGTAACTAAGAAATAAGAGATACAGTCTAGTTAAAAAGCAAATAGAAAGAAACTTTTAGTTAGAGGGGTTCTCCTCATCTTATGAGACAGTGTAAGAAATACCACAGGATTGCAAATGGCTTCTATTCTGAGCTGTGCTTGATAACGTTCCAAGTCACTAAATTCTACAAGATCTTTGGCTCAAACCTAGTAAGTCGTGATAGTTCGAAAATGCCAGTCGTATACGATTTTCGTAAGCCAGTGTAGTTGATGTTCCGAAATGATAACAATAATTAAGTTGTCATTCCTCTTGAACACTACCGAATCTTGATTACAAGCATGATGTTACCATCTTACGTTAACGAACCTACAGTGACAACGATTATCGAACAGAGTGTAGTACCTTTTCATAAATTTGGGTTTGTTCATATTTAATTTGGTTAAGATCTTTTGACTAACTTATTTAAGGTAGTCATTCGTATAGCAGCAACTTAATGTACCATTGGCTTTTATCACTGTCGGGTTTGTATGGGCAGGTAGGACTGGACATTGCTTACCGCCTACGTGCATATTCATTCTATTCGCTTTAATATTAGCCTCTTAAATAATTCGATGATTCGTTCATCTTCCCATGTATATGTATGTGCTTGCCATTCGGTATTCGCATATTATTTTGCTTCGTGTGTTTGTGGTGCGCTAAATAAATACATTCAACGCGTCGTATCCCTCTTTCAATTTATAAACCGTGAAGCGTTATTTAGTGGCGGTTATCTAGACGAGCACCATACGAAGTCTAATAGCATATCGAATACCGATCGCTACGAAAACTAGTAAGGCACGACAGATGTATAAATCCACATCTGGTGGCCTTCAAGCTTTCGGCTTCTATCGAACGTTGCGACTGCTGTATTGGCCGGTGCCTTACTAGATTTTGTGGCGATTGGTATTCGATATGTTCTTAGACCCCGTATGATGCTCGTTCAGGAAACTACTACAAAATAACACCTGACGTTGTATAAATCTCTCTACTGCCATGGCAGTAGACCTTTGTAAACTAGACTGTCATCTATGCCATTAATAATAATCAAATGTTTTGTAAGATGAGTTTTTCGTGATTTGTGATGTTGTAACTTGGATATTTTTCGATTCGGGACAATATGTTCTAACAAATTCTTCTTCTATGTGATGAGTAGCAAGACTAACTTAGTTACTTTGTGTGTCTCAAATCTTTCAGCGATCACCTCATTGCTTCTCTCTATAATTTTAAGTTTTAAAAATTCAATTTCAGTTTAGAAACTATACAGTTAATATTATATTTTTGGTGGACTTCATGTTCTGAGTTTTCGGCTATAATCACAGTAATTTAGATTTTTGTTTTGGTTATAGAGTGAGGCTTGAATCTAAACGTGACAAATCATCATCCAAATAATTAATAAATGGTTTTAATTTACACCGATAATATTAATTCTTCATTGCCATTTAAATGTACATTGTTTACCTTTTTAAGTGCTCTTCTCAGCGTCATATATTGCTCGGAAATCTCGTTTTAAAGTATTTTTTTTGTTCTACATTTTATAAAGATGTATGAAGAAGTTTAAGTTATAATTTCAAATCTCAGCTTAGAATATCTTAACATTTTCAGAGTTTATCGATTGTCTTCTCGATGTCAAACTGTAGTTGTTTCTGGCAAAAGTTAGTCAAGTAATATCAGAAAACCTTTGACCTAAAACGCTGATTTTCTGGTGTGCTCTAATCAATGAGGAATTTTATTTTCATTTAAATGATAAAATTTGTACAATAGAAGCTTTTCGATGAAAATGGTTATCACTGAGAGAGTTGCATAATTATTGACTCATTTCATTTGCCATTTAATATACCAATTACTGACCGAAATATCCTTACGAATAGTACCTATACTAATTACCTTAGGTATAACACACCCACAAAATAGTATTGAATTTTCTTTATTATTGTTAATGTAGTTAACAGAATTTTGAATTTGCACTTATCCACTTTAAAATTGTCATGTTTTTTAAGCTTATCATAGCAAGTGCGTAGACCAATGGCTTTTGAAACGCCGTAGTTGCTGTCCTATATGTAAGAAAAAAATTCACAATACACATACAAGATTTACACGTGCTTCTGTATACGGGACTACATCTGAAGCTCCACTTTTGGATGATTATTCATCGTTCGAAGAAGATTCTGATTCCGAAGATAGCAGTATTTCATCACCTCAATTCAATTCTTCTTATGGTATGGATGAACATACTCCACTTATTAATGCTTCTGCTAATCAGTCAAATGCTTTGTCGCACAAGCAAACGAAGATAACTGCTTCAATTCGTGAAACTGTAGAGGGTTTACTTGCAAATGTATCCAGTTCCAATCTCAGAGGTTGTACTTCATCCGAGTGTGAACAAAGAACTAAAAATGTTAATTCAGTTGAAAAATTACAACCTGAATGTTCCCAAATCGGTGCTGAATCCTTTGTAACAGGTTGGTATTTTTATCTTCCAAGAAATTTTTTCAGTGATCCCAAAAAAATTAAATCAGGCTCGATTTCATATTTCATGATTAGGTATCACATAAAATATCTGTAAGAAATCCGAGTAAATATATGTCTTGCCATTGCGCATATTGATCAGTTTGTCAGATTATTTCACCCTATACATAAAGTAAAAATACTTGCTTGAATCAATCAATACATGATACCGCGACCTGTTGTTTTGAGGTGGTTATGATATTCAGAATCAATGAGTGTAATTGTTGATTTTCAGCAGATTCATATATATATATATCTCATCTTTTATAAATCAATAGTTAATTGTTCAAGTAACATGTAGGCGGTCGTTTAAAAAATCAGTGTGTCATCTGTAAATTGATTATTAATCATTTACATTACTCATACATGCATACAGACATGCCTAGATTACAGTTTTATGTATCTTAGTGAAAAGGTTCGTATGTGTTAAGATTCGTTTATTTCATAAAAATGTGAAATATTTAAACAATGTATTGATCCTGTGATCAATGCGAAAAATTCTATTTTCTTTTCTTGATCACTTGATATTCATTATTTATAGTTGTTTTATTCATGTGAAAAAAGGAGTCAGTTGTTGGTATTTGTGAGGTAGTATTTGTTGCTAGAACGATGTCCTTAGTCCTAAATGTTATTTGGAAATGTGGAACAAATAAATTTGTTACCATTGAATATATGGCAAAAGGATTCTTGTGATAGTCCAAACTTGGTTTTAAACCCTATCCTTATTTATATCGATCAATTTAAAATCAAAGCTACAATTTTCGTTTGTTGATATTTACCACTTCGAATTGTGTATTGCAATAGGAATTACAATTAAAACATTTGGAAAGTATTTTGCAAAGCTGATAAGTATACTTTCACTTGTTGTTAGCGTCGAGTTGAATCTCCCAATGTTTATGTAGAGATGAATCCCGATCTAAACGGTAACTTTGCAGCGAGATTAGCTACTGATCACACTATATGACATACTAGATGGTTCGATTATCATTCCTCTTTGGACCTGATTTCGATTCCGTGCAGAGTTATGTGTGCTCACTTAAAATGAATCGCTGTGGAAATGACACATCTGTTCACTGTTGCTTACTATTCAATGACTTTCTTGGTAATGTTAGTTTTAGTCATCGGACTACATGTATATTTTTGAGTCATCAAACTTCTTTCCTCTCCGCTACTTATTTGGTACTGATTCATTAAAGCTTATTCTATCTTATAACCAATGAGATATTTTCATTATATTGATGATGTGTTTCTTCAATGGATCAGTTGAAAATTATGTTTTGATTTCCTCTCAGTCTTTCATTTTTCAATGCTGTTTATTTTTGAGTCCCAATCATGTTCGAAGTGTACTAAATTGTTTAAAACCACTGATTATCGTGAATTAATTGTTTCAAGTTACATATCGTCTAGAGTTTTATCGAAAACTATGATGATCTGTGAAGTCATGCCTGATTATGCAACAGCTTCACTGTTCTACTGCCTTGTTAGTATACCCAATACATTTATTTGCATACAAACATTGTACTTTATCGAGAACATTCATTTATTTTTGTCATTGATAGTTCATTAGTTTTAATCAGAAATCTACCTAACTATCAGAAGTTGTCACATGCTCATATCTCTTAAATGATTTATAGCTTTACAATGTATAAATCTTTCCAAAATTACTTGATATTATTGTTATGTAACATTCTCTTAATTCTTTCTCTTTTGTTGTATTTCTCATTAGGTAAACAGTGTGCCGAAAATGACACTGATTCAGAATCAATTAATGAGATCAATGACTATCAGTCACCTTCAGCAATGATTACTCATGTTGAAGTACACACAAATTGTGATTTATCAGATAAGCATGAATCTCATGTCTAACTTTTATTTGTTTATCTCTTAATTTCTATCATTATTCGAGATGTTGTCAGTGTTTTTTTTTGTGTTTTTAGCAGTTGTTTTTATACAAAGAAAGCAAATTTATACTACGTATCCTATTTCACTTGTTCGTAAAAATCATTTTATTTCTACACAATGATGATGAATACTCACTAGAACTGTGTTATTCTAAACTGTTGGGTTCCGATAATTGGCTATTTATTTTTCTTACCTGCTTTTATGATACCTTTTTAATACAAAAAAAAATACAAGTAGTATATCACCTGATTTATTTCTTGTATACAGTTTATATATAATGTATAATATATATCTTTTTTGTCTCCCTAGTCGACTGATCGATTGATATAATTCAAATGGCTGATTAATCAGTTCATTTATTGAACATTGAATCAATTGTTCTTTTTCGTCTTTTTAAAAAAAATTATTCATTTATTTATCGATTGTGTAATTATTGTATTGTGTTTCTACCGTTGATTGTTTCACCTTGTGAAATTTAATTTGTTGTAAGCATTTTCATATAATTATGCATACATTGATTTGATCGTATATAAATAGTATTTCATTATACTACTTGAAAAATTTATCTGATTATAATGAGAGAGTATCAATTTCTTATTAGATTAACATTGTTTTTGTTGAATTTCTTACCGGTCAAATGATCATTAACTAAGTTTGATTTTTAATAGAATCAGATAATTTCTTCTTATTATTTTTTTTAATATGAATTTTTATTTTATCACTTACCCTTATTTTTTACTACTTTGTTTAGAATGAAATACATTATTTTCATCTATAGAGTTAGTTTTATTTGTTATTCAATGACTGAAAATAATAATCAGTTCAAAGATTTCATTAGTTGTTAATATTAAGGTGACCAACAAAATAGTTTCACTTTCATAGTTTATCTACTACGTGTAGTATAAAAAAAAATGAAATATGATTGTCAATAATAATCTACAGTACCATCGATTAGTTTTCAGGTATACTAGTTCAGTTATTATTTACATCATACAACAAAAGTAGTTAATGGCTACAAATATGTAATTTTCATTTGAATTATTCCTTTCATTATATTATATACATTTCCAGACAGAACACTACAGGTCGAGTGAGAGCTTATGGCGAACTGTCACCGGACTCAGTATATATATATATATATATATATATATATATGCTCCATCTCTAATCTTATTACACATTGTTTTTAGTCTTAGGTTGCAATCACGATCTTAAGTAAGAAAATTCTGACGTGAGGATTCATTTTTCTTTTATGTAAATGTTACAAGAAATCATCTAACTGTAAGTGACATACACTAACTAACTATAGTTTTCTTTGACGGCTATACAACGCCAAACTTATCCGTAGTCACATATTTCTAATTAGACGAAATTTATCTGTATTTAATCAGCAACGTTTCCATCGATTTCTACGTTATTTTTTCTTTGTTAATTATTTACAGGCCAGTTAATTAGTGAATGCATTTATACTACTAACAATGTGTTAGTAACTAATTTGTGCCTTGAAAATTGTTTAGCTTTCATGTAGCAGTAGAACTTCGTAATTCAACATATTTCAGGCCGTCATTGTTAATGTTTTTAGTGATTAAATTGTGCTCAAAACGTTTAATTGTTTAGTGTAATAAATAATAGTAATAATCTTGGGATACCATAAATAATTGATACAAAATGTGTTCTTTTTTATTCTTAGAACATGTTAGATTTGTTCAAATTTATTAATGAAATGAAAATGTAGATATTTGTTATTCTGTCTGTATGAATATACTTGGGTAAGCCTAACTCTTCATACCCACACAAACAAAAAAGCTCCACACAGATTTAATGTAACTCATGATAATCAATAGTATCATTCTCATGAATATCATCTGAGAAAAAAAATGAATGCTTACATATGTGTGCATCATCCATGACTGAAAGCAGGTGAGTAACAATCAATAATCTGTTTTATGATTTTACCTCCAATGATTTCTAATCATAAAATAGAATTTTATTGTTTTTATTGAGCCTCATTAAATAAACGAGCTTAATTTTATGTGGTAACCGTAAAACGTTTTGACAGAGTGAATATGAATCCTTAAAAAGAAAATAAACCTCTTGATGATGATTTAGAAATACTAAGATGATTCTTAAATAAACATACAACTGACCTGTGAAATGCAGACTAATCATGAGAAGTGGTTTTTCAGAAGTCAGCTCTTATTTTAAAGATATTATTATCTGAATTCCATCGGATTTGTTCAATCTGTGTTCTGTTAAGCATTCGGAATCAGAAACTGAACACTGCACCTTCTGTGTTGCGCTCACGTACAGGTACTGTAATTATAATGAAAGTTGGGAAATTTGAAATAATCGATGGATGTCGGCTAGCAGTTATTTTTCCCAGGCACAATCAATGTATATTGTCATTTACTCAAAAAAGAGATTGGTATAATCATTAACTTGGCGGATAAGACACTGAAAATTAGGATGTTCAAAACATGTTTTACTGTGTTGTTTCAAGAATGGTTGAATGTTGTCGTATATAACAGGATAAAATAGCTTGTTTTCAGGCAAATCATAAAGAAGCTACTAACTTGGTTATATTAAAAATACTGTCTTAACACACTGTTCCATAATGCTACACTAAAAGCGACAATAATTTCCCGATTGATTTTCGACAATACACTCAGTATTTTCTAAATTTCCAAAACTACCAGATTAGATGACACGAAAGTTGAATGTTAGTGTCAATAACACATACTATACCCTTGGGAAGTAAAGATAAAAAATAGCCACGTGAGATACATTTTACAGATCAAAAATATCCACTGATTATTAATATTTGACAGTAAATCCCAATGAACGACTCTGTTAAGAGGACTAGGTATATAGATTAGAAACGACCGGCTCCTTTGGGTATAGTAGTACATAAATACTTGTATTTTGGATATTTATAGAATCTGTTTCATTTTGGTACGGTTTGCAACTGGGCTATAACTATCCAATTTTGAAACTAAATATGTTTGTTAATCAGAGTAACTGACAGAATAATGTTCATATTTTTCGAAGTATAAACTGACTGACAAAACTGGAATTGAAATACGAGATAGGAGAAAGAATTAACTGCTTACATGGTCACTAAGTATGGATTGTCATTGCTTTAACTGAACATTTCCTGTCAGTTATCATCAAAGTCTATCTTTAATCATTTAAGAACAGAGGAACTATCTGTTAGACTAATGTTTTCAAATTATTCAATCATTGTTTAGTAACTAATGTTATTTCGGCCTACAATTCATGTTTATATATATATAACCTCCGGGTTAAGTAACTACATCATAGCACCTTTTAGTACGTTTTTATATTTAAAATATTGAGCAAGCATGGTGATTTATTTCATATATATTTAACAAGTGTAAGTTGTATTTGGAATAAAAACTTGGTAGCATTTTAATGTGGCTAACATCCAGTGTTTAGCTGAACTAATAAAAATAATAGATTTGGTTTTTTGAAAAATAAAGTGAAACGATATTATAAGTTTCAAAGACTTTTTAGTGAAAGAAACAGTTTACTGAGCCCATCAAATCAATAAATTTTATTTAATGAAATTAACGTCCTTGAAAGTTCTAAAGCATCAAATAAGAACTTGTAATTAATGGAAAGTATTCAAAGTAATAACTTTCATGTAATATTTTCTTTCACTATCCACCCGACGTTTACGAAAAAGGACTTTAAAGATAATCTATTGGAAACAGAAATTTTTTGTAACAAGAAATATTAATTCGTTAAGTATCAATTTGTATGTTACTAGTATTTCTTGATTATAAATAAACACTTCTCATGACATTAAAAAGTGGATTGACAATGAATAAGTATTTATGAAAAATAATAAAGTCCTGAGGTTATGACAGCATAATATGAGGACAAGTAGTAAAGTTCGAGATGTAACAAGTGATTAGGCAGAAGAACACTTAATTCCAAGACAATTCTTCTTTTTTTCATGAAAACTATCATTTTCAGATCATTTATTCAATGACAAACTTGATTTTTGTAAATCAATTAAATCATTTATTATTTTGACGATTTACTACATACTATCATCAATGTTGTATAAACTACTGAAGGAATGTATCAGTAATCATTTTGTAATAATAAAGAAATTTCTTTTTTGAAAATTAACAAATCTAAGATTTTTTTTATGCCTATGCATAGAAAACAGAAATTATCAAGTATTCTATCTAACATTGTTGATTATGATGACTTGAAGATTAAACAAATCTACATTGAATTGCGTTAGTGAAGTTTGACGCAATTATTGTTGTATTCTTAGTCACTTGTTGGTAGATTATGAAATTAGTTAATTAAACTGACTAATTTGTAAATTGACAAAATATATAACATTTTAAAAACACCAAATTAAAATATTAAAAAAATGAATTTCAAAGTTGTACTATTTTTTAGACATTCATTCTTTGCATATTTTCACAAAACAAAATTTAAACTAATCAAACCTAATTCATTTCTTTGTTACTTTTGTATTCCGATCAAATGAAGAAAAAAAAATTTACAAACGAATTCAAAAAAAAAACTTTATTAAAAAAAGAAACTTAGTGAACTGATTTATGCTTTGTGAATGATTACATAGTTTATGTAGGAGAATTCAATGTTCAAATTGAAAATATCACACACAAAAACAAAAGAAAGTATGTCAATTTTTTTTATAGTGAATACTTCAGATATAATGTATACATACAATTCATAGTGATTTTTGAATAAAGAAAAAAAAATTTCATTGAATGTTGTTAGTGTTAGTAATTTATTTATTTAATTTTTTATTACTTCCGAATAAATAGGTAAAAAAATATATATTGAACATTTTAGTTTGTGTTTATCGGTGTCATTTTAAATGAACTAGTTAAAAGTATGCAACAACAACAACCGAAAGAATACATAGAAATTTCTATATAGGTTATATTTTTCTTATAAGCTATTAAAATGTATTAGTATTAAAATTTTAGTTGAATTCAGTTTAATAATGAATTTATGTGATTTGAACAATTTTTCTTCATGTCAATCAAGTTAAGCATGAAACTCTTAATGATCAATACATGTCTAGATGTTTCAATTAAGAATTCAATTTTTTGCTATTACGTTTTTACACTCTTATGGCTTGAAAAAAAGCACATTTCTATCTACTTTTATAACGAAATAATTGTCAATATGTATATATATCATATTATCCGCATTACATAAATTAGGTTTTCTTTTTGTTCGACGATATATACACCTTGGTTGTTGGATATAATTTACCTTCTAACTAACTAACTAACTGTGTGGCAAATCGATTATGAATCAACTACGCTGAATATGTGGTAAATTATGATTTTACCTGGAAATAAAAACGTTTTTATTCGAAACAATTAAAGCTTTTCGGTCAATTTATCATTTTTACATAAGTTAATAATGAGAACTGTCATTAATATGATCAAATCTGCTTATTTTATACCAGTTGAGAATCACACAATGTGACGTCAACAACCAATTCAATGTACATGAAAATTTCAAAATCTTGAATCAATAATCAGAATAATCATAAACATTTTTATATTTTATTTATTATGTTTATATATTTCTATTTATATGACAATGAGAAAGACATGGATATCGATTTTCTGTGTATGCTTCTGTCATTTAGATACAGTTCATATGAAGATGATTGAAATGCTATGATAGGATTGATGAAATATGACATGTAATAACGATTCATTTTATTCTAATCCTTATTAATGCATATATAT